AAAAAAAAAAAAAAAAAAGAACAGAAAGTAAATCTAATGGCTGTAAATTCAGAAAATTCTTGTCTTGTATAAGAAGAAGTGAGGAGGCAAGTGGTTCCAGGACTCTGTGACATGAGCAGGGACCCAGGCTCAGTCTACCTTTCTGCTCTGCCATCCTCAGAGCATTGGCTTCGGTTCTGTTTCTCAGGGAGTCAGGATGGCTGCTGCAGCTCCAGATGGTGTGTATCAACCTGCATTTTTCAGCAGAAACAGGACATTTCTTCACAGGCATGTTTTATATTAGGAGTAAAGTCTTTCTTACTAAAGCACCCAGCAATCTGTTTTGTTTTGTTTTGTTTTTTGTTGTTGTTGTTTTTTGTTTTGGCCCGGTCGTGGGGCTTGAACTCTGGGCCTGGGCACTGTCCCTCAGCTCTTCAGCTCAAGGCTAGTGCTCTACCACTTGAGCCACAGCGCCACTTCCGGCTTTTTTCTTTTTGCTTATGTGGTGCTGAGGAATCGAACCCAGGGCCTCAGGCATGCAAGGCAAGCGCTCTACCACTGAGCCACCTTCCCAGCCCCCGCACCCAGCAATCTTTAACAAACTTAAGGACATGCATATAAGGGATGCCAGGCAGACAGATACGCAGAATTTTCAGGTTCTGTGGGAGAAAGTAGGTTCTGACTGCTAAGAGAAAGTGTGGAGTAATGGACCATCACAGAGCTTAAAGTTTACCCTGAGAGTTTGTTGTCAGGACTTTCTGAACAACAAGGAATAGGAAAGCAGTTCAGCTTATTCCAAGTCAAAAGGAAATATTATCAGGCTAACAAATGAGAAGCCCAGGGTTTTCCCAGCACCGTGAGTACACCTGGATCCATCCCTTAGGCTGCATCTTCAGAAATCTGTGCCTCTCTATCTCTCAGTCCTGAGTTGGCATCATTCAAATTCTCCCTTCTCTAGCAGTAGCAAAGTAGTAGCAAGGTGGGCCTAGACTGGGATCCTTAAACACAGCCCTGCTGGGTACTTATGGCAGAAGACGGAGGCTGCTTCTTGCTGGTCCACACTTGGTGGGACAGGGTCCCACCTGTACCAGCTGCTGAGATTGTGGGAGCTGGTACTCAGTTTGAGCCAGACAGGATCACAGGCACACCCTGGAGTGCCGTGAAGGGGAAGAGAAGACAAAAGAGATGGCTTCTCAGGGAAAGAATGGCACATCCATGCTGTTAACTAAAGAAGAAGGCATGGAAGCCAGATGGGAAAACATCCTCAGAAGTCTGTTGCTCGAGTTTCTATCTTCATCATCACACTTTAGCGAAGCATCAACCACATTAACATTCAGCGTCTCCAGGGCATATTAACGGAAGGTACCTTTTGCATCTTCACGAACCACGCTACAGAACTGGCATTTGTGTCCCAGACCCTGGGGAAAGAGAGATTACCCTTAGTTTCATTGTAGATGAGGAAATTAAGACAGAAGCTGACCAGTATCACAGAAGCAACAAGAAGCCCATGGCAGATGTGGAAATGTGCCATGGTGGGCCATAGCTGCTTGCACAGGTTCAGCCACCTCCTCTCACTCAGCGTGCAGCAACGTCAGTTCCACCATGGAAATTAACATATGCCAAAGTCAGGGTTCCTCTTCCTGCCCCTCACTTGGCAGCAAATCTCAGAGGCCCACAGATGGGCCTAACAAGATCCTAGTTCATCTCTGTGCTTCCTGGCCACCATGAGGTAAGTTGCTCTGTTCCACCCGGCCCACTGCTCTGATGGACTGAAAGAACTGCAACATAAGCCTAAATAAACCTTACCTCCCTTTAAGTTGTTTCTCCCAGGTATTTGGTCATAGTGATACGAAGTCTGACACACACAATTTGCGTTGGTAGCTACTTCCTCCTTAACTATCAAAGAGGTGTCTTCATGCAAACATGGTATTTTTGCTTTTGCCCTTTTACTCAGCTCCCCTGAACCATTTACTAATAGAGGCTGCTACCCTGAGGGTAGGTTCAGCATGACTCTCTGACTCTGACTTTTCTTTTCTTGTTTGAGATGAGTCTCTCTGTATTGCTATAGTATGCAAGCTGAACTCAGACATGTGGACTCAAGTGATCTTCTTGCCTTCGGACTGTATCCAGATGATTCTGTCTTTTGACAATAAGGCTTTCCACTAAGCTGACCATTTACTTCTACCTTGTTCACAGCCACTTTCAGTATGCAAGAACCATCTGTAATGAATCCTAGAGAAAAGAAGGTTAGTATCTTTTTCAGACATATAACTTCACAAGAAAAAGATGTGATTGGAGTTAGAGGTGTGGCTCAGGTGGTAGAGCCAACAATTGAAAGCATGAACCGCTGAGTTCAAGTCTTAGTCTCAGATTAAAAAAAAAAAAAGTAGATGTGATCCTTGTCTTCATGAAGCTCACTGAATGAGATTAAATGAATTAGAAGAATTCAGAAACTTAAAATTGTGGTAGATATGCCTCAAGGACCACTAGGATGCTGCGGCAGTAACCGTCGGGGTGGTGGGGAGGTGTCTAGGAATATAGTTAGACAAGTCCTCCCAGGAGGGAATGTGAAGACCGGACAGTCTGCAGAGTCTGAGCTTTCCGGATGGGTAGGCTGAGAAGGCCTGGAGGTCAGAGTGGCTGGAGCCCAGGTGGAAGGGAGGCTAAGAGATAACCAGGATGGGTGGAGGCCAAGGCAAGGAGTTTGCATTTTACTCTCGGGCCATGGGAGGCCACTGGAGGTTGGGTTTCATTGTAGGCTGTACAGTGAAACTACAGGCTTAGCCTTCTAGGTTTGAGCAAGAGGCCTTGAAGCCTGAGTTGTTTAACAGGTCCCACCAGAATTGATTCCCAGAACACACTGTGTGCCTCTCCCTAGAACCCATATGCCCTTTCCGCCTCCTTCAATTGTTCTGGGATTCTGCCCTGTGGGAGCTTCCCCGGGCTCCTGGACCTGCGTACAAAGGTAAAAGCTCTTTGTTCTCCTTTTCACCAAATCCACAGCAACCCCTGGAAACAGATGCGATCAAGGTCCCTGGAAGAACAGAAGCAAAACTGGCAGAGGCCTCTGGCTGAGGCAGGCCTCAAAGGCCTGCATTTTTTTCTTTTTTTTATGGTACTGGCCTCTAGCATATTAAGTCAGAATTATCCCACTTAAGCTGCATTCCCAGCCTTTAAATTTTTAAAAATTTCGAATCCATTTTTCATTTTTTGGGGGGGTGGTTTGAAGTCAAGGCCTGTGCTTGCTGGGCAGGCACCCTGTCACTCATACCATACTCCCAGGTCTTTTCCACTCTGGTTATTTTTTAGATAGGCTTTTGCCTTCTGCCTCGGTGTATACCTGGACCGTAATCCTCCTATTTCAGTCTTCCAATCCTAGCTGAGATGACAGGTGTGTGTGACTGTCCCAGATTCTTCCCACAGGTTTTTCTACCTGGGCTGGCTTAGATGCACAACTTTCCCAATCTCAGCCTCCCAGGTAGTTTAGGATGACAGACATACCACTATATCCAGATATGAACTGAGAAAGGGTCTGGTGAACTGTCTGACCTGACCTCAAACCATGGTACTCCTAAGTCTGACTCCTAAGTAGCTAGGATTACAGACATGCTCCATCACAACTTATCTTGCACTTTGTTTTTGAGACAGTCTCGAAAACTTTGCCCTGACTGGTCATGAACTCACGGTCTTCTGACCTCTGCCTTCAAAATACTTGGATTTACAAATGTACACCACAAAGCATGGCCCAAGACCTAAATTCTGCCTCTTTCTTTCCAGTTTTCTAGTTTCATGGGATTCATAGTCATTGCTCTGAGTTCTAATTGTCAGTGTATGTGCCCGGCTTTCCTAACTTCAGGCCAAGGGCTTGTCTTGTTCCTAGATCTCTAGGCATCCTAATGCTAAGTCTGTGTATTGAATGCATGATGGGTCCTGAGCCCACACATAGAATAAATTTACTTACCCAGTGACTGTGAACAATGAACTCCATGTCCCATGAAGGCAGCCAGGTGTGTCAGCCAGGGTCTTTCTCTGCTCCATGTCTCACACTGTAGCTACTCTTGGTACACATTGCTCTAAGGTAGAGGACAGGTTGGCCACAGCACAGTGAGGCCAAGTCATTTGTGGAGATATGCCTCACCAGTGTCCCCTTCTTCCACAGAGAGACAAAGGGGATTTGGAGGTGTATGTCAAGCCTGGTCTGTACGTGGATCCTTTCACAACAGTCACTCTGGGCTGGCCAGCTGATGACGAGGACTTCCGCTTCCGCTGGTCCTGTGGTAGGTGGTGTGAGTTCTTGGGCTGTCCTTTCTAGGAAATGGCAGATGGCATCAGGTTATGTTACCATTTTTCTTTGTCTTCACAAGCACATCACTTAGGCCTGATTGTAAGTTGCATGGAAATGGGAGATAGGAAGGGAGAATGGCCCTGAAGGTAGTAAGCATGGGGATGTGCTTTTTCCTTAGCATGCACTGACAATCCCAAACAAGGTCAGTGATGAAATACTCTTCCTCTCTGCAGCACACCCTTCCCTTCTCCCCACCCCCACAGTACTGGGGAGAGTCTAAAAGGGCAAAGGTCAGGTATCTTTTGACAAACCAAGAGGGTAGCACAAGCTTTTAGAAGTGAGTGATCTCCTTTTCATAGGGTTATTGTCTAGAAACATATGTATTGTTTTAGAAATAAAAGGAATACCATTCACACTGGACTTTTTGCTCTGTTAACATTTTTTCCACTGGACAACATAATCTGCGCAGCTAACTATTGCACGTCTTCTCGTCTGTCTTTTTTTTTTTTTTTTGGTCCAGTTGTGGGGCCTGAACTCTGGGCCTGGGCGCTGTCCCTCAGCTCTTCAGTTCAAGGGTAGCACTCTACCACTTGAGCTACAGCACTATTCCAGCTTTTTTTCTTTTTGCTTATGTGGTGCTGAGGAATTGAACCCAGGGCCTCAGGCATGCAAGGCAAGCACTCTACCACTGAGCCACCTTCCCAGCCCCTTCTCTTCTGTCTTGATTTTCATAATAAAGAGATTCGAATTAGGCTGTGATCAGTTAATGTATGGTCATTTATTCACCAGGATTGGTTTTATTTGTTTCCTTATTTATTTTTCACTAGGACTGTTATTCTGGACATTTAGGTTATTACCAATTGTTTGCTCTTATACGTACAGTATTGTCATTTGTTCAATCTGTTTATATCTGTGCTTGCTTTCATAACTAAATTTCTTAAAATGGTCTAACAAATATCATACAGAAGTTCAAGGCTTTCAATACTTCATGGAGTATGAAGTTTAGACAGCTGAACAGAGCCTGACCCTGGGGATATTTTGTGACTGATGTGGGAGGGGTGGAGAGTGAGGGATGCATGGGCATCAATCAGTGGAGCTGAATTTATGGAGCTGTTATCAAAAACATCGGAGACCACAGTCTCCATGGGCCATCACACCCCACAGGGACTCATTGCTGAGGGCAGCCTCCTCTGTGTAGGGGGATAGCTGCACCAAAGATGGGGAGGTGCCCTGGACCTGTAGATCCTCTTCTAAAAAAATTCTCACGCCAGAAGGTAGCCATGTGTGCTGTGGATAACAGTGTCTTCCCACCCCCTCCCAGGGCGCTGCTGGGATCAGTGGAGCAACTGTGTGGAAAGGCAGCAGCTCCACACAGCCCAGAGGGAACTGGTGATCCCGCCATCCTGCCTGCCACCACCCGGATCCGCTGTCACCTTGCGCCTGGCCATCCTAAGGGGCCAGGAGCTAGAGAAGGAGACGGAGCAGTGCCTCTACGTGTCTGCTCCTCTGGACCTCGAGCCCCGAGTCAGGTGAGGCACACAGGCATGGTGCTCCATTCATCAGCCAACACTTAGTAAGAGCCAGGCCAGGACGGTCCTGACTTAGGGCAAGGCCTGAAGGGCTGGGCAAGCCAGCCAGTCCCTGTTCTCATGGAGTTGCTATCTGGGGATCAGCAACGATTTATACAAGGGAGTGAAGGGAGACAGCACAAGTATGACAATTTTCCTGATTAGGGGTCATAGAGGGCATCCCATAGGAGCTGGGGCTGAGCAGAGATAAAGAGGGGAATGGGAGGAACTAACATAGCAGGAAAATTATGACTGGAGAGGGCACAGGAAGAAGAGAGCAGAAGAGAAAGAGGTATAGAGCAGGAGAGCAGTGTAAGGAGTCAAAGGAGTAGACAGGCCTGGCTCAGGCAGGACCTCCAGGGCATCCCAAATCTGAGGTCTTTCTCTAGAAGTTGCCGAGAGAAGCCACCTAGAAGTTCTGAGCAGGACATGGTTACATCTTGCTTAGAAACATTTTGCTAGCAGGGGAAAGAATAAGTGGGGGAGAGCAGGGGAGGCTTTGGAAGCTTACCTGGGCACTTCAAGAGTACAGGTAAGAGCTCCAGACAGCTGGTCTGTTGGCTGGGTCCCTGCAGGAAACAGAGGGCCCTCTCTAATGAGGAATCATCACAGATGGATGAAGTTTCCATTGACAAGCGTAGACAGGGCTAAGGGAAAAACCAAGAGGACCGTAATGGGGGAAGCCATTGCTCCTAGGACTGCAGAGGTGGGGACAAATGTGACTGGAAGTTCCTGAGATCTAAGCTGCGGCCTCGGCTACATAGAGCGGCGTGTTGCTGCAGCCCTCCAGGAAAAGGGGAGGGCCACATAGGGATAAATCTCCATCCTCTCCTTACTCCCACGGGTCCTCCACCAATGCTCCCAATTGGGTAGGGTGTGGATCTGTGGAACCGCAGTCTACAGAGGCCAATCTCTGGGGACACAGCCACAAAGAGCTGGAGAATGGTCTGGAAGACGAGTGGAGTCACTTTCGTATACTTGTACCAGGGCAGATGGTGAGGAGCGAAGTAGGCAGATGGGAAACTTATGCAGTTAAACCAAAAGGACCCAAGGGATGGATTGGACATGGTAGATGCCAGTGTGGCCTCTTGAGGTTCTAGGAGAGAGCAGGCTATTATAGAGAAGGCCCAGGATGAGGCACCATCACACAAGTCCATGTTCCATCTACCCACTTAGGAGCTGTGTCACCTAGGCTGCTGTGAGCACTGGATGTGTTGCTATCTATGGACATCATTTATGCCTGGCATGCTCCTCATGAAACACCAGCACCATTCACTATGATTAGAGCTAAAAAGATTCGCAGAAGATTTTTGGGTTTACTCTCAGTTTACAAGTGAAGAAACTGAGGTTCAGCCTCTAAGTGACTTATACAGGATGACTATTCCTAAGTAGCAGGGTCAAAGGTTGAACCCAAGGACTTGTCTCAGCCTTTTGAATGCTCCATGCTAGCACCCAGGGTCTGAGTGACACGGGAGCGTTGTCAGGCTGTGGATCTGTCCATCTGGAGACTAGGTCTTGGCTCTGATGTGTCTTGGGGCGGTGGCTGTTTTGACACCACTTACCATTTGGAGAAAGGTCATTCTGCACCCTCTCAGAGGACTTGACAAGAACTGGGCAGAAGAGTTGGCTTCTCACTGTGTCTGAGGGAGCTTCCTTGCCCCTTTCCCTGTTTCCTTTCCAGCTGTGAGCAGAACTGCCAGCTGGCGGATGCCAATGAAGATGTTCTGCTCAGAGTCACCTTGGGAGAGGACACCTCAGCAGCCACATTCAGCTGGTACTTGGACAGCTCCTCACCAGACAAGGTGAGGATAGTGACAACCACGCAAAGAGAACTGAGGGAATCCCCAGCAGCATGGGTAGATACATAGAAGCAAAGTCGATGGGGCTGGGGAAGTAGTTCTTACCCAACAACTCAAGGCCAGCAAAAAAAGAAAAGAAAAACTCCATAGGGAGGTGCTTGGCCAAAGCTATTGGTCCATGGCCCCTGTCCAGGCTGATACATCTCCCTGACCCTTCTCCCATCGCCCAGCTGCTGTGCAGGGGCTGATGCGAGGTTGAGCAGTCCAGTCCCCGTACTCCTAGGAAAGCAATTTCTGCAGCTCACCTTCTATACCACAGCAACCCACAAGCCAGGCCGAGGCTGCTCGCCTCTCGTAGAACTGCTTCTTTGCTTCCCTTCCCTGTTGCCTCCCTCTGCTTTCTCTGAAACCTCTCTTTCCTCAAGTGACCTGCACGCAAACCCCTGCTCAGGCCCCTATTCCCCCAAACCTTACCTCAGACAAACAGCCTACCAACACTGGGGCTTGGCATTCAGCTGACTTTTGGGGATGCTGGTAGGACCCCACTGCCACCTCCACTTGAGATAAATTTCCTGGGGACAGAAGCCACTGTCCTACAAGGTCTGGGGTCCTGGCTACAGACTCAGAGGCCCTGAGCACTGCTGTCTTGCAGGCTGAGCCCCTCCCTGCTGTCTGCAGACTCACAGGGTTCCAGACACGCTCTCTGACCCTTCTTCAAGGGGACACCTCCACGCTGCTGCTCAACAGCAGCTCCCTGCAGACCTGGGGACAGGTCCTCTGGATCAGGGTCACAGGTGAGAAGCCACCCCACCTCCTCTTGTCAGGCAGCCAAGACAAACACTAACTGTGGGGCTTTGGTAAAACATGGAACGTGGCTGGGGCTCTGGAGGGAATTTCACCGAGAGCCTCTGGGTAAAGGATTTGGCCTCCAGAGGTCTCAGTTCACTTCTAGGTAATCCAGAGATGATAGCTGCCTGCCCCAGCGCGGCTCTCATGCAGGATGAATGACAGAAGGCAGTGGAACACACTGGTGACCTAGGCCTGTGCTGCCCAGGGAAGGCCGAGCTGCTCATTCCAAACCAGCTGAGCTGGGCATGGTGATGGATAGAGGATGAGGCAGGAGGGGCAGGAGTTCAAAGCCAGGTGGGGCGCTGGTGGCTCACACCTGTGATCCTAGCTCCTCAGGAAGCTGAGATCTGAGGATCAAGGTTCAAAGCCAGGATAGGCAGGAAAGTTTGTGAGATTCTTACCTCCGGTTGAACACCCAAAAAGCTGGATGTAGAACTGTGGCTCAAGTGGTAGGGCACTAGGCTTGAGCACAAAAGCTCAGGGACAAAAGCTCAGGCCTTGAGTTCAAGCTCCAAAATAAACACACACACACACACACACACACACAAAAGAGTTCAAAGCCAGGCTGGACTACATAGCCAGACTCTGTCTCAAAAGTAAGAAAATAATCCCAGTATAGGAAATGTATTATTATTAGTGGCCCCATTTTACAGATAACAGATTAACCCTCAAAAACCTCAAGTCTAAGTCATTTGGATGGTAAAATAAGTGCCAGAACTGGAATTCCAGCTCAGGTCTATCTGATTCTCTTCTATTATTTCTGCCCAATATATAAGAAGGCTCTCTGTGTCTGTCTGTCTGTCTGTCTCTCCTTTTCCTGGAACTCATAATCCTACTACCTGAGCATCGTAAGGGCCTGCCCAGTCTCCCCGGGACTCTACATCTAAGGGACATTTTTAGACATGAGGACCTGGAAGCCGCCCCCAGAATCTCCAGCCCGCTCGGGGGAGGGGAAGGGGGTCGCAGCAGGAGGAGCAGAAATCTGTGTGTCTTCAGCAGCTGACCAGGTCATCCTGACGCATGCTCATCTGTCTTTACTCCCCAGCGCTGACCAGGCAGGCCTATGGGGAGGACACCTATGTGATCAGCGCTCTGCCTACACCTGTGGTACCCACCTGTGTGATTGCCCCAGAGGAGGGCACTGTACTGACCCGCTTTGCCATTCTCTGTACGGCCTCCATGGTCCTAGAGCCCCTGGAGTATTGCTTCTGTCTAGACTCAGGTACTGTCTTGGAACTGCTTTCCCCTCACACCCTGGGCTCAGACCCTCCAGAGCAGGGACTGTGTGACACAAAGAATGTGTTCCGTCTGTGAGACGTTGGCAGGATGAGGATCTTCTGAACTGGCCGCTCTCAAGGCATTGGCCTAGCCACCACACCACAGGGTCAGGAGAAGCAGGCCCCCACAGCAGCTCCTGCACAACCTCAGAAGCCAAAATGGCTTCAGTGTAAGCAGTGTCAGGGTGAGAAGGGTGAAGAGACCCAGAAGTATGACATGTGACGACATAGCAGGACACTGCTCCTCCTCCTCCACCCCCTCCCCCATGCGCCAGGAGTAACTATGATGCTGAGATTCTGGAACTACTTGGAAAGAAGCAGGACCCTGCTTTACAAAGCAGCAATCAGAGAATGGCCATGTCACAGGATAAGCTGAGCTGAAAGAACATTGTTGCTAAGTTTCCAGGGGAGGACTCTCACGGACCCTGTTCGCTTGCATGAGACCCTACCTGGGTGTCACTCAATACTGTCAGACCCCACAGCCAGGACAACAGCGGGCATTAGCAGGACGGTGGGAGGGCCCAGTCCCATTGTTTTTTCCTTACATTTGGTGGTAGTAGGTTCTTGGAGAGCTCATCTGATTCCTTATCTCCTCTTTATCCTTGTGGGTATCTTGTGACCTTCGTATGAAGGTCCCAAGCAAGGGTACTAGTTGATCTGGAACTTTCCTCTGAACCTCAGCACTGTGCTTATTATGTCAATGCTTCCTACTGTCCAGCGTCAGACAGCACAATAGTAGACACTGCGTACCTCCATCATGGAAAAATGGGTGTGAGCTCTTCTGAGGCTCCAGGAGTGCAGTTTAATGGGTGCCCTGTTAAAGGGGAAAAAAAAAGTCAAAGCAAACTGAGTAGATTTCCAACCTGCATTACCTGCTTCCTCCTAGAAAGGGAGGGGCCAGGACAGCAGTTCTACTTCTGATTGGTTGTTCTCTTTAGTACTTTAGCCTGATATAAGAAGGCAAAGAGGTATGATGGTGTGAAAATGAGCATTCAGCTAGGTGTGGCAGTGCACACTGGTAATCCCAGCCCTTGGGAGGTTAAAGCAGGAGGGTCAAGAGTTTGAAGCCAATCCGGATGACATATTGAGTTCGAGGCCAGTTCATTACTTAGATCTTGATTCAGACAAACAAACTGAACATTCAATAGCAAATCATTGTATAGCACACTATACAATAATTGGTGATTCCAATGACTGACAGGTCCCATCGAAGGATAAAAGGAATATTCATTCACTTACTTTTACAACAAACATGTATTGAATGTCAGGCTCTGGCAGGTGCTAGATATGTAGCAACAAATAAAATAGAGGAAGTCCTTGGCCTTATTATGTTTACCATCTATTGGCAGAGACAACTAGTAAACTAAGACAGATATGATAGAGGGTACATTTTGAGATAGAACAGCAAGGGAAGGGAGGGTTTTTGTAAAGCGAGGAGTTTGGGGGTCTGGTGATGTAGATATCCATGGTAGTGTGCTTGTCTAACCTATGTGAGATCCTGAGTTCAATCCTTAGTGCTAGGGAAAAAATGTATAGCACAAAACCAAGAAAAATTGTTGACTCTTAAAGAAGTTTTGGGTTTTTTTTGTATGTATGTGTGCGCCTGCATACACATGTGCACGTGTGCACATGTAGGTACTCTTGGGGGCTGAACTCAGGTCCTCATGCATGCTAGGCAGTGTACTACAATTGAGCCATGCCCCATCCCCAGATATGTTTTGAGCTAAGTTGTTGTTCTCCTCATCCTCTTTCCTTTTTTCCCTTTATTTTGTAATCTGACTTATCACTTAAACAAACAAACAAACATAAGCCAAGGGCTGGTGGTTCACAACTGAAATCTTAGCTACTTAGGTAGCTGAGATCTGAGGATCATGGTTTGAAGCCAGTCTAGACAGGAAAGTTTGCAAGGCTCTTGTTTCCAATTAACCAGCAAAAAGCTGGAGGTGAAGCTATGGCTCAAGAGGTGGAGTACAGGCTTGAGTGAAAAAAATTAAGGGTCAGCACCCTTAAGTAATTCCTTTCCTAATACTGGCACAAAACACAACCCAAAATCACTGTAAATATTTTTCCTGTTATTTTTCATGAATTTTAGAGAAATGATCCAAATTCACAGCAACCTGACGTCACTTATTGAGGACAATGAATCAGTATGTGTGGCTGTCTTCCCTCCAATAGTGTAGAATCCCAGTGTGTTTACTACTCCTTAGAGAACTATTACTTTTGTGTCCTGGGGACCTGGTGGGTCTTGGTCTCCCTCGGCTTGGACATGCCACTCTAATTGCTCAATTGGCATTTTGCCAGGTTCCTGTCTACACTGTGGCCCTGAACCAGCCCTCCCATCTGTGTACCTACCACTTGGAAAAGACAACAAAGACTTTGTGCTGACAGTGATCATTTCTGTCACCAACCAGGCAGGGGAAAGACAGCAGACCCATGCAATGGTGAAGGTGGGTGATCGTGATAGTCATTCTTTCTTAAATGTTATTTCAAGGGTGGCTGGGTGGAAGACAACCATGGGCTTGGCTGGTGAATCACTGACTCACTCATTTATTTTATTATTATTATTTTTTGATGGTTATAAGGCTTGAACTCAGGGCCTGGTTGCTGTCCCTGTGTTCTTTTTTTGCTCAAGACTAGCAATCTACCACTTTGAGCCACAGCTCTACTTCTGGTTTTCTACTAGTTAATTGGTGATAAAAGTCACATGGACTTTCCTGCCTGAGCTAGCTTTGAACCACAATCCTCAGATCTCAGCCCCTTGCGTAGCTCGGATTATAAGTGTGAACCATCAGTATCTAGCTCGCGCATTTCTTCAACAAATATTTATAAGTATCTACTAGATTCCAAGTCCTGAACTTGCATATGAATTTGGCCCCTACCTTTGTAGATCATGTGACTAAATTATTAGCAGAAGGTTAGGTCTTGGGAGCAACGGGTGGAGTAGACCAGAAGGATCTGGGCAAGCATTAAGTTAGTAATTCTGAGGAAAAAGAACCAAGATCAGCCATAAGGACTCAAAGTTAAGCCTTGATAAATCATAGTTCAAGGGTCAAGAGCCAAATTGAGATCAGGAGATGGACAGCATGAAGTTAGCAACTAGAAGTGAAGTGAGGGCTTGCCCTTAGTTTTGATGGCTGCCAACTGCCTGGCACAAATGGGCCCCGGTGCCCTCCAGCTGCAGGAAGTGCCGAAGAGCCCCATGCCAGGCCTGCCCTGTTCCCACAAAGACCACTGAGCCCATGCCAGGCCTGCTCTGTTCCCCACTGACCACTGAGCCCATTTCTGTTTCTCTGTAGGTGGGACTCGGGGACACAGGTATTAAGGAGGGGGAATTCCAGGTTGCCATGTTGGAAAGGGTCACTGCTGCTCTACAAGGTGAGCATGGCCCTGAGCAACTTCTCCAGCTGGCCAAGTCTCTGTCCTCCGTGCTGAACCAAGAGGACCTAGGCCAGGACTCTGGGCAACTGCTAACAATGGACACAAGACAGAAGGTACCAAAATAGACTCCTTGGATACCTCCCACTGAGGTCCCAGGGGTCTCTGGGTCAGAGGGGACAGGGTTCAGGGACCAGTAGAGAAGACTTTAGCATCTCCCAGTGGTTCTTGTCACCTCCCACTCTGGTCCTTCCAGTGAGGGATAAAAAGAGAAGAAATGTCTTCATTGTTGATAATCAGTATTCTTTGCTCACCATCACCAGTTCTAGTCTTTGGGAACTAGTAGAGTATGATTCTGGTCCCTTCCTATTAGGAATAATGAGACCAAGGACCACAGTAGGAACATGACTTGGTCTAGGTCAAGCGTGGCTAGGCAGGACTGGAAACTTCCAGGAGGCTCTAATGGAGAATCCACTCCTTACTTTTCCAGTGTTTAGAGGTAACCTGCATTCCTTGGCTCACGGCCCCTTCCCTATCATCAAAGCTTTCTGCTCTCCCCCATTCTTTCTCTCTTCTCTGTCCTTTACTGCTGCCTCCAATATCCATCTGCTTCCCTAATTCATCTTCTTTCCTCCCTCTCATGATCCCTATGGTCCTAACACCCCCACTGTTAATCCACAATGCTGTCCCAGTCTCAGGATCCCCAATCACATCTCCAAAGGCCAGAGTGCCTTTTTGTCCTCTGAGGTAACATGTTCACAAGTTTCAAGGATTAAGGTGTGGATGCAGGAAACCCTAGCCATTCTCCTGACCCCAAATATTCCTGAAATGCTTTCATGGAGCCTCTGGAATTTCATTTTCTCTCCTGGCCTTTTTCTCCTTGTACCGAGGTCAGAGAACTTGTACTGCAGTCACTGTCCAAGGTCATCGGCAGCCTGGAGGACATGCAGAGTGTGCAGGGGCTGGCTGAGGTGTTGAGGGAGCTGACCCACCTCAGTGAAGAGCTCACACCCTCTGCCCAGGTGAGAACTTCCACCTGCTGAGCCAGGCCGTCTCTCTCTTTCTCTCTCTCTCTCCCTCCCCTCCCCTCACACACACACACACACACACACACACACACACACACACACACACACCTCTCCATGAGAGGAAAGTAATAACCCAGCCAGGGATAGGTCAAGGGGTCCCTAAGTCACAGAGCTCTCCTGGAGCTGCCAAGAATTCCGCCATCTTCTTTCCAATGATCCTGCCTGGTGGTGTATGGGAAGGTACCCTTTGGTAGCCCCCTACTATGCCTCATCCTATGTGATGACTTTCTTGCCCCCACCCCTTCCTCTCTATCCATGGGTGAGTAACTGGAAGGAGCACCTGGATCCTGTTCTTGGCTGGGCAGCCAAGTCACCAGAGCTGCTACTGATCCACCTCATCTTGCACATCTGATGTCTAGTGTGATGTCCAGCTACCGGCACCTTCTAGCCTGGGGTTCTTCCTGACACCTGCCCCAACAGCTGGGAAGTCATGCACAGCTAGCCCAGCTACCTCAACCCTTCTTGTTGGATAACTCCCACGCAGGACCAGGTCCCAGGCACTGGGCTCGACTGCGCTTCCTGCACTGGATTCTGACCGTTTCCTGTCTCACATCCCCAAGCCTTGAAGGATGTTCCCTGGAGTCACCTCCAAACAAACAGCCTTATCTCCTTCTTGGAAAATTCAGATCAAAGTACATGTTCCACCACCTAAACAGCCCAGGGTTAAAAAGAAGCCATAAGGAGTGAGAGGGAAACGTCCCTGGCACTACCTCACTCACTCCCCTGGAGCCGGCCCAAAGCTGGCAAGGTGGCATTATACATTCACATACCCATGTGCTTAGTCACGTGTCCTATGTGCATCCTTCCTTCCCTCCTCTTTACATTCATTCATCCACTCAATCAACAAGCATCTCCTGAATGCCTATTGTGCCAGGCACTGAATTCATTGAGAATTCAGCAGCGAGTCACATGCATAGACTGCCCTCAAGGCATGTTCAGACTATCAGGGTACCAAACAAATAATCTCATAAAAACATAAAAGTATAATGAAGTACTATGTCCATGCATCATCCACCTGCTCACCCACCCTTATCCACCTGCCTACCCATGGTTCCAGCCAGCCAGCCTTACCCTCTCTCCATCCATTCATCTTCCTTCCACCCTTTCACCCATTCTACCCACCCATCTATCATCCATTCATTCTCTATCCATCCATCCATCACTCCAAGTCAGTAAATGTTACCAACTACCTACGATGTGCAGATCACTCCATAAAGCACTCTGAGAAGAATTCAGAATTCCTCTCTCCTAGAGGAACTTAAAGCCTTAGATCCAGTCTTAAGTTAGGAATGTGGACTGCTTCCATGATGGGCCTGGCTCAGCTCTTCCTCGGCTTAGGCCCCTCGCTTGCTCCCCTCCCCTGCATCCTATATCCCTGAAATGGCACAGGGACGGATCCATCCCAGCTGGGTTCAAATTGCTTTTTCTTCTTTGGTTGTACTCAGTGGGTGGCTAGCCGGGCTTTGCAGCAGGCCAGTGAAGTCCTGTTGACAGCAAGTACCAAGGCCCGTCCTGAGGACCAGAGGCGCCAGGCAGCCACCAGGGGCTTGCTTTGGGCGGTGGGCAATATACTGGAAGCTTTCCCGAGCAACCAACCAGAAGAGCCCATGGACGCCAACAGCAGCCAGGTGGGTGTCTCAGGCCAGATGCAGACCTCATGCCCACGGTGTGCCCAACTCATACCCACTCCTTACAGATAAGGAAACTGAGGCCTGGAGTTGTAGTGTTTACCAAGGAGTTGGAAGAAAGGATCCAGGGATCAGCACCCCTGGGAGGCAGTGTGGAGTAATAGGCTGTATATGGGGCCTGGAATCAGGCAGCCTGAATCTGAACTCTGACTTGTGTCGCTTGCAAGCTGTACCATTCATCACATAGGGGCCCTGTGTGAGGAAACTCACATTCCTCATCTGCAAATGGAAGCATCCTGCCTCACTTCAGATCAGCAGCCTCTGTTGGAGAGACCTGTGTACCCCCTTGCAGGTTTGATAATTCCTGGTTTGTTTAGCCAAGAACACACAACAGTCAGAGTAGGTGGGGCGTGTGTGGCTCCTGAGGGGCACAAGGATGCAGCCTGGTCCCAGGGCAGCATCGTGATAGAACTGTAAAGCTCAAGTCTAGCTGCTCCACAGGCCTTTATCCCACGGGCCAGCATTCCTTTGCAGAAAGACTGAAGGACAGTCTCATACAAAGGTAACTGAATACAGAGATGCCTGCTTACTGGTGAACTGGTTCAGATAGCATGAGGCCTTGAGTTCAAACCCAAGTACTGCCAAACAAATAAGGCAAAGGTATATGCTCACACATGGCCATGGATTCAGAACACTGTAACACACACAGATTCAGCCTCACACCCTCACAAACATTCACACACCCATATACACACAATCACACCTTTACACATAGTAGCATAGTTACACACAGACAGACTCTTTCACATAGCTCTTCCATATAGTTGCACTCACATTCCTAATCACTTACATACACCCTGGGAGCTACATTCACATGCGTTCATATAGTTATGTATAATGCCCTCACACAGACTTGCATGTGGCGTGCTCAAATCCTTATGTTCACACATAGTGATGGTCACACACACAGTCTGTGCACCCCATAAGCACTCTGCAAACACCCAGCCCTTCTGGGTTCTCATCCTAGCCTTGACATCATGAAGACACATGTTTTGAATGGCTTTACCCATGACTCTCCACGTGCCCTGGAATAACACCTAGCCAGGTGTGGAAGTCAGCTGCACAGAGCCAAATAGCACAATGGCTCAGCACATGATGCCTGAAGCCAGAAGCTTCACATGAATCCTGGCTCTTCCTTCTCTTTATCCTTCCCAAGCCATCTTTCCTCTCCACATGTTTCCCCTACTGCCCAAGAAGAGGGGAAAACACCCATTCTCAGGGCAGCCAGGAGGCCGTGAAGGGTTCACAGGAGCCAGGCATCCTCATCTCTGTATATGCTGCCCTTGCCATTATCCATGGGGCTTTTCCCACCTCCCACTGTCCTCTCTTACAGGCCTCATGCTAAGCCTAGTGATGGTGGCCAGAAATGGCGTCGAGCAGCAGTTCATAGTGGCATCCTCTTGCCTCTTCCCAGGTTCCTACACTAGCCCGGATGCTTGAGGCTGTGGAGCGTGTACAGACCTCCCTCCTGCTGGGCACACTTCCCGGGGCCCTTCCAGCCACCCTGGCTACACCCTCCATCTCCGTGTACACAAACAGGTAATCAGCTGCACTGTGTGTTCCCAAGAAAGCCCATGCCCTAGGCTCCCCAATTCCACGCCCAGATGCAGGCAGAATCCAGGAGGCCAGTCTTGGGATCTGCAGTGTTGGTACCAAGACCTGGGGGTGGAGGGCTTTTGTCTGAAGAGCTCCTTCCCACTAGGGTGGGTGGTTGTGCAGAGAGGAGGGTTGACACAGGAGTGAATTCTGAGCTATGTGGGAGAAGGGCAGGCGGAGGGTTGACAAAAGGGAACCCACATCGTACCTACTGTGTCGTGGGTGGGCCAGCCAGCCCGTTTCTCCTAGGCCTGCAGGGATTCAAACAATCGCCTGTGAGTTTTGCCATGGGGGATCCATCTTGCTCTGTACTGACCAGTTCCTGGGCATGCCTTCCTCTCTCCTCTCCCCACCTGACCAGCACTGGACCATGTTGCAGGCCCCAAACTGAGTCCCAGATTTTGGTTCCTTGGGTCAGGGTTGCTCCACTGGGTCCCAGGGACATAATCCCCAGATCTGAACGAGGGTCTAAAACCAGGTCTCCAGTCCAATCTGATGAGGACAGAGCGAAGTCTGGAAAAGATGGAGCTGAGAGCCCACGATCTCCAAGGCTAAGGCAGGCAGAGGGGAGAAACCCATGGAGCTGTCGACAGCCAAGCTCATTTACTCATTTAACAACAACAAAAAATTATTGACCAGCTCCTAAGGGCTGGGGGTTTGGCAGTGAACGAAGCTGGTTTTGTGGTGATCCAGGGGCACCACTTCTCTGCGGCAGCTTCTGCTGCTGGTACAAACCTGAGAACTTGCTAAAGACACCTCTCTGATAGACAGGAGAGAGTCTCTGAGCGCTGGGAGAGCAGGGCTCTTCCTCCCACATGGTCACACTGAATCTTTCCTCATCCTATGACCAGAATACAGCCACGGACTTGGCGAGGCTCCTCCGTGTTTATTGCTGCCACCGACTCTGCAACCTTCTCTCTGCCTGCCTCCTCCCTCTGGCCCATAGAGGATGACAGCGAGCCTGTGGATATCAGGGTAACCCCAGAAATGCCTCCTTGGGGACAGCCCTACCTCAGGGCCTCATCACTCACATAGGGACCTAGTTCCCTGCAGCCTCAAGGGCCTGGGACAATGCTCCTCTCTCTTCCTTTCAGATGACGAGTTTCCCCAAGAGCCCCTTCCCAGCCGGGAGTCGCTTTGACATCAGTGGAACTGTTGGTGGACTTCTCGTGACCAGCCCTGGTGGACAGCCCATCCCTGTGAAGAACCTGTCTGAGAATATTGAGGTAGAAATAGGGTGTTGTCAGGAGTCAGATGATACTTGGCTTTCTTCTTCAATTTAGTTAGAGCCCGAAGATGGCTGGTTCTTTTTTCTTTTTTTCCTTTTTTCTTTTGTCAGTTGTGGGGCTTGAACACTGTCCCTGCGCTCTTTAGCTCAGGGTGAGTGCTCTACCACTTGAGCCACAGTGCCACTTCGGGTTTTCTAGTGGTTTATTGGAGATCAAAGTCTCACGGACTTTCCTGCCCGGGCTGGCTTTGAACTGTGATCCTTAGAACTCAGCCTCTGTAGTAGCTAGGATTACAGACGTGAGCCACCAGTACCTGGCTAGTTGTCTGGTTCTATAAAGAAGAGAACCATCCAAAATTGATGCTCGCCCTGCCTTAAACATTGCATTAACTTAAGCCCACAAATGTATGTTCATTTACCCATCTTGTGGTATCTCGGTTTTCCCAGGTATAGGAACCTGTTGTTGGGATTTTAACGACCCTCATTACACAAGCCATCCCCATGGCCTCTAAACGTTCCAGTTAGACTTTCCTTAAACACAGTCATGAGCACACTGTGGTGCAGTATGCATTCAGATACTTTCAAGGTTGTAATGGTTTTTTTCTTGTCCTATTCATCTGCCTAGTTTTCTCATCACTGACTAATTCAGTGGGAGTCTTTAGGGATGTCTACTTCCTCTGAAGCTTGTTCTGTGACTCAGGACTTCGCAGATGTGACTGAGATTTGGTCCTTGAAATGGGGGTTGAGCATGGATTGTCTGGGTTTGGGGCTCTGGGCAGGCAGGTGTAACTACAGATGAGGAAAAGGTGATTTGATGGCAGAAATAACACGTTGGAGCAAGGTGAAGGTGCGGCTAGGACGAGGAGGGCAAGCTGGAGAAAAACAAGGCAGTGGATTCTTTCTAGAAGGGACAAGCCCTGCCAACTTTAGCCCTGGGAAACCGATCTTAAACTTCTGGCGTCGGGAAGTGTGGGATAACAGGTTTATATTGCCCGATGCTGCTCAGCTTGTGGCCGTTTGCTCTAGGTGCCAAAGCAGTGTGGATTCCAGCTCGTAGGCAGTTGCCCTGCATGGCTCTGTTCAGCAGACCTGTTGCTGCCTGAATGGCATTTCCTTGTGCTTTGGTGACAGATCCTGCTGCCCCGGCATTTGGAAGGACTCAATGAGCCAACCGTGCTGGACCTGGCTGCTCCCGGGACTCTGTGGGTGAATGTGACTGCAGGGGGAGCCGCTCTGGGGATCCAGCTACATGGGAGACCCTACCTCCCGCTCACACTCAGTCTTGGCTATGGCTACCACCCCAATGAGACTAGCTATGATGCCCAAACTCATCTACCACCAGCAGCTGTTCCAGGTTAGCCCTGTTCCCTGGGCAGCTTCTCAAGTGTTCCTTGGGGTTGGAGTAGATTCAAGCTTGAGGACAAAAAGCCATGGGGGAAATCAGAGAAAAACCACCTGCCATACTCAGTGGCTTGTTCTACTGCTGTTATTGGTATTGTTAGTTGCCAACATTAGGTGAGCATTTATGAAGATGACCACAGGCCCTTCCTGAACCATCCTTACTGTAGTCCACATGACAACCTTTAGGGTAGAGACCACTGAAGTCTTCCCTTGCCAGAAAAGAACAGAGAGGTTCAGTAACTAGTCACACAGCCAATAAAGATCCCTTGTTTTTTTGACCCAATCTGCACCCTGAGCAGGGTGTCCCTTCTGTGCTCAGGAGGCAAGGTATCACTCCTACAATAATGGAGAGACCTTCAGGGTCTGCCTCCCTGCTGTGTCATCTTGGTCAACCTGCCGTGTTATCCATGATGTCAACCTCATCTCAGTGAGGCTTCCGGCTGACCAGAGCCCTGTTTCCCACAGGTGAGCTGTCTACCTGGATCCTGGGCCCAGCAGACCTGCCCTTAGGGGAGGGTATCTACTACCTGACTGTGGTCCCCGAATCCAACCTGAAGCCAGACCCTGGCAAAGCCCTCACAGTTGGTGTCACCACCTTCCTGTCCCATTGTGTGTTCTGGGATGAGGTCCAGGAGACTTGGGACAACTCTGGCTGCCAGGTAAGGAGAGGAAAGCAAAGACAAAGACAGAGTAGCTTGGTAAGGTATATGTGGCCCACATGGGGACCCCCTCTAGAGTCCTCAGGCCAGTGTCTTGCGCCCCTCCGTGGGGCCATTGCACACATGGCTTTGTGTTTAGCGGGCTCCCTGACCCAGGCACTGCTTCCTGGAGAAAGCTGCTGTTGATCCTGGCTGGGTGTGACTTCCCACACACCCCTCCTTCACAGGGCTGAGCACAGGGGCTGTGCTCATCTCTACAGATGAGCTCATTGAAAGATGTCTGGCATCTGAGGGCTCAGGAGACAGGACACAGAGACAAGTGATCACTGAATGAGTGGACGAGTGATTCAGGAAGCCCTGCAGGCCAGGGTGCCATTTCCAAGGAAATGAACTCAACTGTCCCGTTTGTTCTCTGCCAAGTATTGTATTCCCTGCTCAGTTTGCATGATCTCATCAAATCTTCCCAACAACTCTATTTTATAGACAATGAGACAAAGGCTCAGGAAACTCAATTAACTTGCCCTGAACCCCACACCTTTTTGTGGAGATGCCAAGACTCAGAGTCCGGCCATGTGACACTGCTTCCCCAGGCCTGTGCGAGTCCTGCTGAGCCCTGGAGGGCTTTTGGCTTTAATAATTGCAATCAGATCTCTGTCTCAACTCAGCGCTGCCCCCAGGAAGCTGAGGATGATGATGGTCCTGAAGAGTGTCCTTGGCCATGAGGCTGTTAGTGCCCTCTTGGAACTATCCTGTCCCCTTCCATGAGTTGTGTGTGCTGTTTTCTCCTCCTGAAAGCCCTTCTTACTTACTCCTGCCCAGAAAGCTCCATTTCTTCCATCGGTTCCAGCTCCACTGTCCTGTCCCTCCCACATGCCTCAAGTGTTCTACTGTTGGACTTTCACAGTACTCATCCCCTTCCCTCATCTCCATGTATAATCACAATTTATCACCCATTGGTAGACTACAAGCTCCTCCTTTCATTTATTCAATAACTTATTACCATCACAGGAGCATCTGCACATTGATTTCAGATATTCACAGGGCAGCTAGGGATGTAGCTCAGTGGTAGAGCACTTGGCTTTGTATGCCTGAGGTTCTGGGTTCAGTCCCCAGAAACCTTCCCTTCTCAAAAAAGGGACCCTGGTGCTGGAAAAGTCTAGGGAAGCCAATGACCTCAAGGTCTTTGTCAAACCCCTGGAGACCTATAATACCAGCATTCAGGCAGCAGGATGGGGAATCTGAGACCTTGACAGGAGGAAAGGACGGAGGAAGGGAAGGCCCTGGAGGGCAAAGATATTGGGCATAAATCAAGACACTCCAACTCCAGCCCTGCTTGAATGTCTTCTCTGAAACCAGTCGCACCCCTTCCGGGTGTCAGGTATTCCTGTAAGACCCACAGCTGTGTGCCAGTTCCGGACCAGGGTTAGGAAACAGTGAGGAACACAACAGAGCAAACACAGGACTAAGACCCACCTGAAGTCTGTAATGAGTGTTTGGCACTGTGCCAGTATGTGGGGCTGGCCTTTGCAGGTGGTTCGTTAAGAGGAAGAGGCAGAATTTCCCGTTGGGTCATCATTGGGCTTTGGAGTTCTTCCTTACCAGGTGCTGGAAACAGAACACTTTCTAGATGCCAGTTGGCTGCTCTTTCCACACAGCAACAGAGCCTAGATTGAAAGGCAGTGACGGGTTGGAGGGCTGGATTAAATCTTCACCCGCCAGATGTTCTGAGGTGGGGGTCACAGCTGGCTGAGGGGGTTTGGGATGGCTTGCCCTGACCCTGCAGGACTGAGGCGAGGTTGTGGGTATGGATGCCTGCCCCAGTCCCTTGGCTCCCCCCTGCCCACCTGTGCTTTCTTCAGCACAAGGGAGGGCTGCGTGGCCAAGCGGCATCCACACTTCCATGGCTCTCTAGACTGGCTCAGTTTGTTATAGACTCAGAGTCCTGCGGACTTGGAACTTTCAGTTTGAAAAGCAAGAAGAGTCTGGGCAAACTGAGATGAGGTGCTCACCCTGATGGGCCCTTGGCTGGCCCTTCCAGGCACAGCTTTAACTCCCGGCAAATGCTTATCCTTCCAATGAGCATCTGATGCGTGAAAGGCAGGAGGGATTCAGGACAAATCTGTGATACTGGGTGCTTCTGTGCTGGGACCATGGGGAATCCAACTTCACCTACAACATGTCTCCAAGTCAGGGAAGGCAGATTGACAGGATGCTTAGAGCTCCCACTGGAAATGATCTTTCTCCCAAGTAATAGTCTCTGGGCTGGGGATGTGGCTTATGGCAGATTGCTTGTCTAGCATGCTCAATTCTGTCTGTCTGCCTGTCTCTAGTTTATTGTACTGGAATTTGAACTCAGGGCCTTGTGCTTGTTAGGCAGATGCTCTATCACTTGAGTCAGACCTCTAATCCATTTTGCCTTTAGTTGTTTTTCTAATAAGGTCTTGAGTTTATGACCAGCTGGCTTGGACCATGAGCCTCCTATTTGAGGTTTGCTGTATAACTGGAATACAGGTGTCCTCTACCACACCTAGATTTTTATTGGTTAAGATGGGGTCTTGTGACCTTTTTTTTTCTTTCCTTTTTACCCAGACTGCTGGGCAATCCTCACAATCTCTGGCTCCTAAGTAGCTAGAATTATAAGCATGAGCTATTGCACTTGGCCAGTTCTCTGATTTTTTTTTCATTTTATTTTTTAGTTCTCTGAATTTTTAACTTAATTTTTAATGCCAGTACTGGCTTTTGAACTCAGAGCCTGGGCTCTGACTTGAGCTTCTTTTGCTCAAGGCTAGTGCTCTACCAGTGCTTTAGCCAAAGCTCTACTTCTGGCTTTCTATGGTAGTTTAGTGGTAGTTTTTTTGGTAGTTTAGTGGAGATAAGAGTCTCACAGATTTTCCTGCCTGGGCTGGTTTCAAACTGTGATCCTCAGATCTCAGCCACCCAAATAGAATAGCTAGGATTACAGGCATGAGCCACCAAATGCCCAGCTAAAATTAATTTTTAGTTAAGTAAAAGAAGCCTGAGGGATTCCTGAAGTCTCTGTCCCAGCGGTATCTCTCAATATCTGAGGAACATCAGTTTCACAACTGTCCATGGATACTAAAATCCACAGGCACTCTCTTATATACTAAGGTGTAATATTTTCTGAGCATGGTGGCACATGTGTATAATCCCAGCACTTGGGAGACTGAAGCAAGAGGATCCAAGTTCAGGCCAGCTTTGGTTACAGACCAAGACCTGATTTAAAAATACTTTTTAAAGGGATGTAGTAGGCAGGCAACCCATGAACATTCTCTGTATCTTGAGACCATCTCTGCATTATTTATGATACTCTAATGAAGCGCAAATGTTATCTCAGCAGTTGCTATATACTCTGTCACCCAGGGAATATGACATGGAGAATGTCTGTACCTATCCAGTGCAGACTCGTTTATTTAAAAAGTATTTTTGACTGAAGTTGTCTGACTCTATGGATACGGAACCCTGACTATAGGATGACCTTCCCAAAGTGGAAGTCACTTTTCTCTCCTCGGCTCGAGTGAGCCGGGCGTGAATTTCCCAGCATGTCTATTCACGAACTCTGGTGGGTTGCAGGTGGGGCCGCGGACCACAGCCTCCCAGACACACTGCCTCTGCAACCACCTCACCTTCTTTGGAAGCACCTTCCTGGTGATGCCCAATGCTGTGGATGTCCACCAGACTGCTGAACTCTTCGCCACCTTTGAGGATAACCCCGTGGTTGTGACCACCGTGGGCTGCCTCTGCCTGGTCTACGTGTTGGTGGTGATCTGGGCTAGGAGAAAAGATGCAGAGGATCAGGCCAAGGTGAAGTTGAATGGCCCTTGGGACTAGGAGGGAAGCACAAGGGGCCACCCCCTCCCCATGATGTACCCTGAGAGGACAGCTACAAGTCCAGGGCCTAACGCTTGGGGCCATCTCAGACCAACTGGCTCTCACCCTCTTTGGCTATAAAATGTCACTTTTTATCAAATTATTGGGGGAGATGATGCTACTGACAAACTGGAAGATTTAGTATAAACTGGGCATTAACCTGTCTAATGTTCAAGGTTACTCTATGAAAGAGGTGTGGTATGCGTTGATCTGACAATGCTCTGCTCATTCTTGGCTGGTGGGTGATGGGTGAGCTCACTGAGCCGAGTCTTCCCTGCCTTTTGTCCAGAGGAGAGTCACGGTGCTGGAGGACAACGACCCCTTCGCCCAGTACCACTACCTGGTGACAGTCCACACGGGACACCGGCGGGGAGCAGCTACATCCGCAAAGGTACCCCACAGCCCCACACCCACTGGTTGATCTTGGTGTCCCCTAGTTAAGTGCTGCTTTGCCACTGTGGACGAACTTGGCGATCTTTCTCTTTCAATTTTTGTATTTGAGTGGAAAGAATATTTTTTGTAAATGAATATATTACCTTATGATGCCAATACTTCATAGGATAACAGAGTGCTTCTAAGAGGGCCAGGTCGCTCTTCTCCTCTCCAGAGTCACTCAGCATTAAGTTTGTTGACCAAAAGTAAATCTGCGAATAGATGAAGCAGTCAGTGGACTTATCAAGGAAAGATGAGGAAAACACAATCTATGAAACAGCAGGGAGAGAAAGAAGGAAAGCACACCCACCATTTGAAATCAGCCCATTTTGAATTACATTTTGGGGGCTGGACTGAAGAGCTACTCAGACCTAAGCAGTCAGGTGTGACTGCATGTTCATTCACTGCAGTCCTCGAGTGATCAGCTACAGTACACACACAGCAGCACCCCTGAGATGTCTGAACATCCTCAGTGAAGGCTGCCCTGAGCCATTTCCCTCTTCCAAGTACATCAGCCAAGCCCGGCTATGTTCCCTTACTAAACTAAGGGGTCTGTGGGACACAGTTAGGAATCAAGAACCAGCACTGCTGAGTTTTCCAAAATGAGATTAGATTGTGTGAGGGTGAAGTTTTTATCTTTCTATTTTTAAGCACTATTTACTATTTGTGTTTCATTTTTACTCTTTAAAGATGAAATTTTTTCATTGATTGCCATGTGTTAGGTCCTAGACCAGCTGTCTAACCCAGAGTCAGTGCTCAATAATATTGGCTGAAGGAACATAGGAACTACTCCTCACACATCCAATGAACATCCACTGACTTCTGATTAACAAGTCAAGCATCAGTCTCTGATCCATAGGACATTTCTCTTCACAAAGAGTTGCAGCCATATTTCAAACTCACATTGCCTGAGTTTGGGCTCCCCTAGAACAGTAGTTCTCAGCCACAGATGACTTTTCCCCCAAGGAACTCTCAGCAGGTATGTGGACACCTAGCCTGTAATGTTAACAGTGGAGGTGAAAAAAGTGCTTAGGAAGCCCACTCTGAAATAAAGGCAGAATCTGCCACAATGCCAGTTTGACTCCAAAAATCAGGTAAACCCTTGGATAGAAACAGAAAAGCAGATCTTTGAGCCACATCCAGTTTCTGGAACTGGAGATAAGAGGAGATAAGAGTTCATTGGAGATGAGTCTCACCGACTTTCCTGCCTGGGCTGGCTTTAAACCACAATCCTCAGATCAAAGATTCCCTAGTCGGTAGGATTACAGGCGTGAACCACTGGCACTGGGCCCAGGAATGTGACCAGCAGTGACCCTCCTGCATTCATGTCCCAAGCTCTCTGAGCAACACTGAACATATCATTATTTCAAGATGGGAGGAGAGGAGGTGAGAGGACCAGGCATGATTGGGTTTTGTTGGTTTCTGGTCACCCCAATTAAACAAAGCCAGAGAGGCTCAGTTACCGAGTAGGAGTAGCCACTTCTGGTCTCTGGATTTCAGGTGACCATCACCCTGTATGGCCTGGATGGAGAAAGTGATCCCCACCACCTGTCAGACCCCGACTTCCCAGTGTTTGAGCGAGGGGGAGTGGATGTCTTCCTGCTTTCCACCCTTTTCCCCCTGGGAGAACTGCAGAGCCTCAGGCTGTGGCATGACAACTCAGGGGACCAGCCATCCTGGTGAGTTGGGAAGGCAAACCACAAGGGCCTGGGAAGCGCAGGCCAGGGTAAGATACCGCACACGGCTGCCTTCCTGGCCTGGACAAGTCTTAGCCAAACATGTTTCATAGATGAGGAAACCAAGAGTCAGACAGGTCCCTGGTCCACACATATGTACTAGATCAGTAAATAGAAGGAATGGAAGCTACAGCCCTGGTATCCAGGGTTAGCCCTATCCCAGCACTGACCTGAGACTGTGGTCCAGGTGAGTGGTATCAACCACTGGCAGCTTAAAACAAAAGTAAAAGCATGACATGTATATTGCTGTCTTTAATTCCCAGGAAGCGCACACTGAGATGGAGTTGAGCATGTGAGGTGCCCTTTGTGGGCATTGTGGGATGCGTGCCTAGGAAGGGAGGATACAGGATGGGCAGAGAGGTGTGTTGAGCTGTGATGAAGCTCAGCAAACCCCTTGAGGGATCCTGGAGCTGCTCCAAGTTGGATCTTGATCACCCCGGGCCCCGTATCACTGGGTGCTGGGTACCCCAGGAGGGCACATGGCTCAACACAGGGGGCCTTTGCATGTGTGATGGGGTATTTTCTCTAAAATGAGAGAATGCAGTGCAGGGCACCTTGGCTGTGCCCCTGCCTTGGCAGGCAAGGGTGGCCTTCCCACCGTGACTACACAGCAACAGAGAAGGTGACTGCTGTATCTGGCCTCCCCACAGGAAATATTTCCTCCCTCACCTAAATCAGCCTGGGTGAGACCCTAGGTTGATGGTAGCCTTGTTGTCTGGTTAGAATCACAGGAGACAGCTGTATTTTGGATACTGAAACCTGCCTTTGAGCAGCTTGGCTTGGCTTGGCTCCCTTGTGATTGGACAGTGATCCTAGGTGGGTGCCATGAGTAGGGGCCCATAGTTTTCAGATGTGTCCTCCACCTCTGCCTTGTAAAGAAGTGAGCACTTATGAGAGCCAGCTTTCCACTGGCTGAGCGCACAGGTGGCTGGGGTTCATCCAGTACCAAGAGCAAAGAACATGCAGTCTTCCCAGGAATTCCTGTTCACCAGGGCCTCAAGAAGCCTTGTTCCTCACACCCATGACTCCACTGTCCAGGTATGTGAGCCGCGTGCTGGTGTATGACCCAGCGACGGACCAGAAGTGGTATTTCCTCTGCAATTCCTGGCTGTCCATTGATATTGGAGACTGTGTTCTTGACAAGGTGTTTCCAGTGGCCACGGAGCAGGACAGGAAGCAGTTCAGGTACTTTTTCTTTCTTTTTAAGCAGCCGTTCCTCCCCTTCCCACCTTTTTTTAAAAGATGGGTTCTATGTTAGTCATCCTGCTGAGCCTTCTGAGTGAGGAGATTTCAGGTGTGTACCACCATACAATGCTCTTTTCTTTGTTCTTTGGTAAATAAAATAAAAATATATTGGCCAGTGGCCTGGGCATCATGACCAGATTGTCCTGTTGAGAATTAGGGCCCAGGAGGGACATGTGTCCCCCCCCCCACCAGTGGGAATAGACAGCAGCTGGGAATTCAGTTCTGCTCATGCTGTGGGAAATCTGGACTAACACCTGTGATGAACTCCATTTTATCCACAGGGACATGGTACATATTCTTACTAAAAAATCTGGTATTGTTTTCAGACTCTGCCTTGCAACTTTTATTCTCCTAAACCCCAAAAGGCTCTAATTACAAATAAAGTGAATAATATTCTGGTTATATTATTATACTGTAGTTGTTATAATGAAATTATAGCAAAAGTAATTATTTGAACACTCACCTATATGCTAGTACTGTTTCAAATGCTTTATAAAATGACTTTGGGGGCTGGGAAGGTGGCTCAGCAGTAGAGCACTTGTCTTGCATGCATGAGGCCCTGGGTTTGATTCCTCAGCACCACATAAACAGAAAAAAAAGCCAGAAGTGGCTCTGTGGCTCAAGTGGTAGAGCACTAGCCTTGAGGTGAAGAGCTGAGGGACAGCGCCCAGGCCCAGAGTTCATTTTTTCCCAAAAAAATGACTTTGGGTATGATAGACAATGCTGTAATCTCAGTTACTCAGAAGTCAGAGAAAGGAGGATCATGGTTCTATCCAGTTTTGGCAAAAAGTTAACAAGACCTCTGCGTTAACAGACAAGCTGCATGTGCAAGTATATATTCATATTCTCAGCTACCTGGAAGACACAGGTAGGAAGATTGTAGTCCAGGGCCATCCCTGAGTAGAAAATGCAAGGCCCTATCTCACAGCCCCAGCCATATAGATGAAAACAGAGGGCTTGAAGTCCTTTCAATGGTCTAGTGAGGTAGGTTCTATTATTGCCTCTATTTTATAGACAAGTAGACTGAGACGCAAAGAGTAACCTCCCTTTCCTGAGGCCCCCGGGCTGGTAAGAGTACAGGCTATGGTGATAAAGCAGCTCTTTCCAGCATCTCTGTATTAACCCCCTGAGATGCTGCTTTGATGATCTATGTCTTTGCAAGTGATAAATCTTGGATGCAAATCTTTCCCTTTCCTTCTCCCTGTTACCTAGGGTTGCTCCAAAGAGATGAGTTCTTTCCCATCCCTGTCCCTCTCAATGGCTGCCTGTCCCTCTCTTCCCCTGCAGCCACCTGTTTTGCATGAAAACCTCTGCGGGCTTCCAGGAAGGACACATCTGGTATTCCATCTTCAGCCGCTCGGCTCGGAGCAGCTTCACACGAGTGCAGAGGGTGTCCTGCTGCTTCTCCCTGCTCCTCTGTACCATGCTGACCAGTATCATGTTCTGGGGTGTCCCCCAGCACCCTGCTGAGCAGAAGATGGACTTGGGTAATTCCCACTGTCATGATGGTCAGGGCTCGTGGCTGGTGGCCATCCATCCACATTGGCTCAGCCATGCCACTGTGATCCATACTTTATTGGGGCATGTGGACATGGCTGACTGCATGCATGGAGGACCCTGGCCCTCAGAGGTCAAGCTGAGGCCATTCTTACCATGTGGCCCATTCTTACCATAAATCTCATGGTTAGCACAGAGTACCTGGCATGGGCCAAGGTCCCAGGAAAACAGAGCCTGTGCTCGCAGGCAAGACCTTCCCATCCTACAATGACCTCCCAGGAGCAGGGCCTGGCTTGTGCTCCATTGCTTAGCCACCTTCTGGAAGGGGTGACAGGCCGGGGGTCTAGTGGCTATGTCTGTCTTTGAGCTCTTCCTCCATCTTCCGCAGGTAAAATTGAGTTCACTTGGCAGGAAGTGATGATTGGGCTGGAGAGCTCCGTCCTCATGTTCCCCATCAACCTCCTGATCGTCCAGATCTTTCGAAATGCCCGTCCTCGGGTCACAAAGGAGCAGAACACTGGGAACCAGGGTGGCAGGACCACTAGCCCGACTTCCTCACCACAGTCCATTGACGATGTCCTTCTGACTCCTGACGAAGTGACCAAGGCAAGTCCTCCACTTCAGCTGATGAACGTGTGGCCCCGCAGAGGTGGACCGCAGGCCGGGCCTGGGGTCTAGAGCCCTGTGCATCTGGCAGTAGTAATTGTCATGATTCATCAGCTCAATATACACAGATACATAGGAACACTTTTTGAGTATCTCCTGGGTACAAACTATTCCAACCCCATTCCAGACTGCTAAACTGGAAGCCCCCAGAAAAGACTCCATCCTGATACGCTCAATAATCTTTTACTGAGCACATACTTCATGCTGCGGTTTGAGGAAGTGAGGGAATGGAAATTCATAAGAGGTTATAATGTGGTGGTTCCAATGCAGCGCGCGGGGCCCAGGGCTTGCACTCTGGGCCTCTGTGATGCACCCCTTCACCTGTGGCTCATGCCCCCTCTCCCTGACCCGTTGTCTTGCAGGATATGAGGAGACTCGTCAGCTTACTGTTTAAAGCTCTGAAGGTGCCATCGCCAGCTTCAAGCTGGAATTCCTCAAGAGCGATGGAGCTCAACGACCTCCTGGCCTTGGTGGAAGACATCGTTTGTCCAGAGAACAGGGCAGGGCGGGGGCTCTGTGAAGAAGCCAGGAAGAGCAAGGACCCTGTCACACTCACTCTTGGATCTATGCAAGTAGAAGGTAAGTGGCTTCCTGCCTTCACGTGGAGTCAGATGCCAGGGCCATGTCTGTATCACCAGGGGCACCAGGAGTTGTTCTGGGCTCTCCCTCACCAGCTGCTGCTCAAGCCACACTCACTACCCTTTCTGTATCACAGGAACCTGTTGTTCTTGCAATGCCAAGCTGCTTCCAACTATACCCTCAACCTATGCCAACTCTGTACTCTAGAACATTCTTTCTGCTGTGCCTGGACAATTCCTTCTTGATCTTTAGTCCCATAAGGCTTTTCTTTGGAGATCAGCCCATATTTCCCTGGCTACCAGAGGGCTTCAGGTCCCAAGCTTTTGGCCCCTAAGTTCCTCCTTGCCTTCAATGTTTGTGGGCAGAAAATGGATGGTGTGAGTGGTTTAACCTCCTTTCCTGAGCCCAGAGCCTCCTGAAGTAGGGGCCATCCATTCAGCTTCCCCGTGCTTAGAAGGCCCATCTTTGAGTCCCGGCTATCTCAGGGACCAGCTTTGTGGACAGCTTGCTTCAGTTCTCTGAGCCCCATCTTCTTTCCCTAGCAAGTGTCAGGGCTGCATGAGAACCAGATCCATTTTAGGGCACAAGGTGGTGGGCAGGGTGGTGACACACCCTCGGAGGTTCTAGCGCCTCTGTCGTTCCTCCTCATCAATGTCAAGGGAGTCTGGATTGGCTCCACTGAGGGTTCAGTGCCCTTCTACTGCCTGCTGATCTTATTTGGCCAAGATAGCAGATGTCAAATGCCAAGCTTTTCCCAACAATATCCAACTGGATTTTAGTAACACTGTTTCCTTTTTAAAAGTTCCACCCATAGCACACTGTTCTGGCTTGAATTGGTCTCCTGGCTTCTCTCTTGGCACCTTCCTATCTGTGTAGTAGGTTTTCCATCATTGACAAAATGGGGAGAGGCCAACTGAACCTTAAGTCAACCACTTTAGTGCTTTCTGCACACATTGAAGTACAGGACACCTGCCCTTTGGGCAAGGTCTCACCTCCTTACTGTAGAGCTGGGATTGTCTGACCCTATGCTCCAGCCACCGGAAGGATTATGCCCAGGGTGACCTACGAAGGCCATCACTGCTTGCACCCCGTACTTGGCCATGGGTTTGGGGGGATTTGGCACTCACAGCTAGACATGCTGGCAGGGGGCCACAGACTTTGAGAAGAATGCTAGACTGGAGATTCTGGGAATCACCAAGGTGCCAATGTAGCTCTGCGGCTTAGGGCAAGTTGCTCAAGCCCTACAAGGCTGCTCCTCTCCAAAACAGAGGTGTTGATCCACCTAGCTCTGTGGCTTGTTGTGAGGACTGAATGAGATCATAAGCTACAGAAAATGCTTAGGCCGCACCTGACAATGTTATGATTGGCAGGGATGGTATCTTCCCAAAACATCAGCAGAAGTCTTGCAACACAGAATGTGGACGTTGGACTCTTTAGTTGAAGTTCGGTGAGGAAGGCCAGTCTGGGAGGAGGTGGAGGGAGAGGCTTCCAGTCAGACAGAGGTAGGACTGGACTCTGCTCCAGGCATTTACCTAGTGGGAATCAAGGACTATCAGTGATGGGTGTACCCAACCACAACCTTCCCCACATACACATTCTATTTTCCCATTCATCTCTCACTAGTGACTAGGGAAGGGGCCATGAGGGAGAGAGCTCTATTTTGTTATGCACAAAGCTCCTGGGAAGACAAACACCTGTCCAACCTTCCACCTCAGGACCAGCGCTGAGGCCCGGCTCCATTTATAGAATCCAGTTTCTCTTAAAAGTCACAGGGAATAGTGGAAAGATTTGAATTTGTTCTTCTTTTCTTATAATAGATGTGTTGTTTCTGTGATTTATACATATACAAAATGATGTTTTTTAAAAATTTTAGCCAGGCATGGTATATCATGCCTGTAATCCCAGCACTTGGGAGTCTGAAGTAGGAAGATCTCTAATTCGAGGCTAGCCTGGGTTATAGAATGTGACTGTCTCAAAAACAAACACACACAAATTTAAAGGGGTGGGGATATATCTCAGTGATAAAAAAAAAAAAAACCACTTGTGAGACCCAGGATTGGATCTTTAGCATAAGGAAGGAAGGCAGGAAGGCAGGAAGGCAGGAAGGCAGGAAGGAAGGAAGGAAGGAAGGAAGGAAAAGAAGGAAGGGAAGGAGGGAGGGAGAAAGGGAGAGAAGAAGGGAGGGAGGGAGGGAGGGAAGTTAGAAATCTGAAATTTGAACAAGCTACTCAAGATCTATCATGACTGACTGGGTATTTGATGGGATGACTGTCAATCATTTTAAAGACACACAATGACATAGCAGATATCCTATCAGAAAGTCCTTACCTTCTCCAGAACTGTCTAAATTATGTAAGGAAGTGATACAAGTTTTGGAATCTGCCCTCCTGGAGGTGGTAGGTGTGTGTGGGTAAAACATGCGGAAGCTGTCTGTTTTGAAGCTGGGTGATGCAGTTACCTCTCATCACTCTATCTGTATATGTTTAGAATGTTTCATAATAAAAAAATACTAAGACACAAGGTGAACACATATCGTTGGACTGGAGGAACACCTCAAGTGGTAGAGCACCAGCTGTGAGTGAAAAAGCTCAGTGAATGCGAAACTATGAGTTCAACCACACACACACACACACACACACACACACACACACACACAACTTAACCCTCCTTGAACCAGATAAAATAAGATTTAGATTCAGGTTCGAACAGTTGTATATTTGTAGATGAGAGACTGCTTTATCAAGGATAGGCTATAAAATACTTTGGAAGGAGAACGCTGTGTAGCAGTGATGAGACACATAGGCTAAAAGCTGGTAACTGTTACAGTGGGGTGATGAACATGGCCTTTCTCTCTCTCCTCTCTCTCTGACCTCATGATCTCAGGGCCTTGCACCTTCTAGGCTGGCATGCTGCAGTGAGCCATACCTCTACCCTTGTTTTTCACTGATTTTTTTTAGGATAAGGTCTTACTTCCCACTTAGGCATGCGCCTGAGCCAAGATCCACTGTGATCACAGGCACCACCACCAGACTCCCTCTGTGGAGACAGTCTTGTGGACTTTTCTACCTGGAATTGGCCTCCAAACTTAGTCTTCTTCTTCTCAGCTTCCCAAGTGACTAAGATTAAAAGTGTGAGCCACAAGTGTCTGATTGCATTGGTTGTTATTGTTATTATTATTATTATTTTGCCAGTCTTAGGGCTTGATCTCAGGCCCTGAACTTCTTTTGCTCAAGGCTAGCACTCTACCACTTGAGCCACAGCACCACTTCCGGCTTCTTCTGTTTATATAGTACTGAGGAATCGAACCCAGGGTTTCATACATGCTAGGCAAGCACTCTACAACTAAGCCACATTCCCAGCCCCTGGTTATTTTTGAGATAGGGTTTTGCTTCTTGCCTGGGCATAGGCGTGGACTACAATCTGCCTATTTTAGGCTTCTGATCAAAGCTGGGGTGACAGAAATATGGCACAATACCCTGTTTTCTGGCCTACATCCTCCTGATCTCTGCCTCCTACATATCTGGGGTGGCAGATGAATCCCACCACACCTAAATGGCAGTTGAGAAGGGGGGGTGTCTCTCACATGTATGCCTGGAGTGGCCTCAAACCATGATCCTCCTGGTTCAGCCTCCCAAATAGCTTGGATTTACAGGTGTGAGCTACTAGTGCCACCTATTTTATTTTTGAGCTATGATCTCATTAACCTTTTCCTGGCTATGCTTGAACTCACAACCATCCTGCCTCCTCCTTCTGAGTAGCTAGGATTATAGTTGTGTGGCACCACACTTGGTATTTCTCTCCTCTTTTGAGTGTGAGGAAATCTTGAAACTGTCTTTTAAAAAAACCTAAAAGGAAAGCATTCAAATTAAAAAGCCAGCCTTACAAGCCTCACCCTCTATCTCTCAGCACCTCTGATGTCTCATGGCGTGGCAAGTGTTTTAATTCAAAGCTGTTGCTCTCTCAACTCTGTGTGTGTGTGTGTGTGTGTGTGTGTGTGTGTGTGTTAGAGCTGATTGACTGTTGTCACTAATCACTCAGTACCAACTGGCTGTTTTTCTCTTGTCCCCCAGGGAAAACACGACACCCCAAGCCTGAGCTGGCCTCGAGTGCCCTTTGGAAGGACAGTACCTACAGGCAGTGTCTCTACCTTCAGCTGGAGCATGTGGAGAAGGAGCTGAGGCTGGTGGTGCCTCGGGCCTTCCCACAGCACCACAGCTATGCTCAGGCCCTCAGGCAGCTGCAGACCTTGAAACGCTGTCTCGGAGGAGAGTGTGGCCCCTGGGTCCCAGCACATACCAGGTCATCCACTTCCCCAGGGACTAAGTGGGGTTGGCCATGGGATAGCACATCCTGACCAACCTTAAAAGGATACCCCCCTCCCCACTGACCTCCCAGGAGGAAGGGATTCAGGGTTCCTATAGAACATTCTGGTGAACAGAGCTATTTTTGGAAGATACAGCCCCCAAGTATAACCATATTCATGTAGTTATTTCCTGGTTGTATACCTTCAAGCCAGCCCTCAACCTCTCTGAGCCTGTTTCTTCATCTATAAAATGGGAATAATGCCTGTCTCCCAATTCAAACTGAAAATGCATTGTGTTTTGCAATAACTAGTAAAATTTTAATCCCGGCATAGCATCACACCTGTAGTTGTAGTTACTCAGGAGGTGGAGATTGATAGAATTGAGGGTCAAGGTCAGTGCAGGCAAAAAGTGAGTGAGAGCCTCATCTCAACCAATAGCTGGGTATGGTGGTATGTACCTGTCATCTCGGTTACATGGAAAGGGAAAATAGGAGGACTGTGGTCCAAGCAAGCCTGGGCATAAATGAGAGCCCCTATTAAGAAAATAGCTTAAGCAAAAACAGCTGAGGGTATGGCTCAATGGTAGAGCTCTGCCTAACAAGCACCAGGCTGTGATCTCAACCCCAAGCACCACACAGAGAGAGAGAGAGAGAGAGAGAGAGAGAGAGAGAGAGAGAGAGAGAGCCAGGTTACCAGATGTCATTAAGGGATTGATAGGTGACAATGGCACAGAAATTTGGTAAGAAAATGACCACATTTGAGAAGCATTCTGAAATAATTAGGGATGATTTTGTGTGTGTGTGTGTGTGTGTGTGTGTGTTTTTTTGGGTCCGGTCATGGGCCTGAACTCTGGGCCTGGGCGCTGTCCCTCAGCTCTTCAGCTCAAGGCTAGCGCTCTACCACTTGAGCCATAGCACCACTTCCGGCTTTTTTTTTTCTGCTTATGTGGTGCTGAGGAATTGAACCCAGGGCCTCATGCATGCAAGGCAAGCGCTCTACCACTGAGCCACCTTCTCAGCCCAGGGATGATTTTGTATAATCTCGAATTTACTTTTAAATATTCCATCTGTACCCCCTAAAAAGGAAAGAGGTGAGGACAGAAAGAATGAGTGCAACAAGGTGAGTAAATGCCACTGCTCTTATTTGGCCAACTACAGAATGGCCCTCCAAAGGAGGTGCAGATTACAGAGGGGGAAATGAAGGGCTAACTGGTCAACCATCTTGGCAAAGGTCATGCAAATGATGAGAACAGAATGGGATTTGAACTTGAGTCTGCTGGTGCCACCCTGACTGTCAACCTTCCTTTGTAGAATTCCTCGGGCCAGCAGGCCCCTTCGAGGTCTGCCCTGGTGGTGTGTCCTGGTGGGCTGGCTCCTGGTGGCAGCCACAAGTGGTGTGGCGGCCTTCTTCACCATGCTGTACGGCCTGCACTACGGGCACGCCAGCTCTCTCAGGTGGCTCATCTCCATGGCTGTCTCCTTTGTGGAGAGTGTGTTCATCACACAGCCACTGAAGGTCAGGACTCTTGCCCCAAACCAACCACCTTCACCTGTCTATGAATAGTCCTGTCCTCAGGCTTAGGGATCCTTCCTTGATGCACTCAACAAACAATATATGAAGCACCACCTCTGAGAAGGACCTGGAGGTTAATGTACAGAGAGGCAAGGATTTCATACTCAAAATCACCCTGGGGATTGTGGGAATTTTTACACATGAGAAAACTTGAGGTTAGGAAGTTAAGATCACAAGCCTGCAATACTTAGTAGTTAGGGTGGTCGCCTAACTCACACATGGCCCCTCCCACAAAAAAGAAGTTCCAATCACAAGCATCTAGCCCTAGTCCATACGTGTATGTAAGTATGTGTCATACTCTATTTCCTCAGTCTGGAGAACCTTCTGATTTAAAGGAACAATCCCTTCAGGAAAGAAAAAAACACAAACCACCCAGACATTAAATGTGTGCATCGGGTAGGAGTTAGACTTCTATTTCTGACATGGGAAACATCCCCAAGTACATTGCATGGAGAAGCACTAAGCTCACACCTGCAGGTGGGTGGTGGGAGTGCAGAGTCCCCTGGGAGAAGGACCCGGGAGCCCCTAGGAGGAAGAAAGGCTGTGCTGGGATGTGGGGAGAGCTGCAGAAAGGAGGGGACACCTTGACAAATCCCCCACGCCACACCTACCTCACCCACGTCTACCATTCTACCCTGAACAGCCGTGACAGTAAGACTCAAAAATCTGTGAGCACCCGCCAGGTTTTATGGGGTTACCCCATAAAAAGTTACCCTTTATGGGGTAGAGGTTAGGTTAGGAGACTATTGAGAAAGGGTGTGTGCTGAGCCTTGTTCACCCTCTGCTTTCACACAGCGGGTGGAAGGTGCAGTCCTTGGGGTATGTATGTCCTCAATATAGGGAAGCAGGGGTGGGATCAGGATGGTATAGTAACTCCATGCATCAAGATGAGACCCTTTAGGCAGGCAAGCAGCAGGTGGGAAAGCTCAGGTGAGTTCAAAGACTTGCCAGTCTCTGATGGGTGGCCCCCACCTCTCCTAAGACTGGCCTCCATGGAGGACTTTCTCACCTTGCTGCTCTAGAGGCCAGCTCCTGTATCCTGTGCACAGATGGGCCCCCAATCCTGTTCCCCTCAGACCAGCCTTACAGTTACCACTGCAGTCTTGGGGTTCACACTGGTGATTTTCAGGTACTAGGCTTTGCTGCTTTCTTTGCACTGGTCTTGAAGAGAGAAGACGAGGTGGACAATGTATCCTTGCTGCAGGAACATCTGCATGGCCCAGGTAATAGGGTCTTGGTGGGAAGAGGCAGGGGTCTGGCTTTCCTACAATCTCTGCAGGATCCTGGGCACAGGTGTTCCCCAGTCCCCATTCTCCACCAGCCTTCATGCAGGATTTGTGAGTCACTCCAAGCCAGCCTGACAATAGTGTCTTCCTCCTTGTCTCCTGAGCAGCCTCATTCCTTCCCTCTGACAACTCACTCCCTCTGACCCTTCCTTCAGCCAGAAGAACTACTTCCGGGCCCCTGCTTCCTATCTTGGCTGCCCTCCTCAACGCAATCCTAAGCAGGCAGCTTGCTTCCTAAGATGCAGGTTCTCAGGCTTTAAAATGAAAACCAACAGACAAGCAGCTTGCAGATGCTGAAAAAACAGCTGTATACTACAGCCTCAGGACCACAAGTAGGCAAACTACAGAGAGGGCCAAATCTGACACCCTCCCACACTCTGGATTTGTGTTTTTCAGTACTGAGGACCACATCCTCGTCCAACAACTTGAGCTACATCCCACTCTTGCCTCTACACCTGAGTTTATAGATGAAGCTTTATGGGCACATGGCCATGCTTGACCCCTGTTTTAAGAAGTCACTGACCCTTCCTCCCTACTTCTCTACCAGGACCCCCAGAGCAAAGCTGGTGACAATGAAAGTGTACACCAACACAAGCCAACAAGACACAATCAACTGTATAGTAATCACTCTTGACTTATAGAGGAAATAATGGGAAACCCACAAACAAGCCACGTGCATCCCCCATTGTACAGTGCGGGTACCTTGATCTGAGCTGTGTTCTTCCACTCCAGGGTAGTTTTGGCTTTTCATATCCAAAAAGTCCATTAAAATCTTCTTTCAAGACCAAAGGTTAATTTTTCTCCAAAGAGATGCAGCCTCCAAAGCAATTAAATATTAATTCAAATGTTCCTTTGGCAAATCTTCAGGCTGTGTGCCAGAAAACTCAGGAACATAATTTGCACAGAAATCATCCATTGTTGGATGCAGTTCGATTTTAGTAAATTTACAGGGTTATGTAACCATGGCTACAATTCAGATTTAGAGAAGCTTTGTCACCCTAGGCAGGACCTTGTGATCCAGCTGAAGTCAGCCCTCCCCTCCCCTCAGGTTACCTGGCACTGACTAGATGAAGGCTCACCGGCCCTGGAATAAATGGGCATCCAGGGAGGCAACAGCTAAGTGTGAATTGAGATGCAAACAAGAAGGTTGGGAGAGAACAAGACATCGCAGGCCTCTCTTTTGAGGTGGCACCTAAGCTGCTCTCTGAAGGATAGGGGGAGGGAAAGACTGCACACTGGGTATGTGTGAGGACCCTGAGGTGGGACAGAACTGATACTTTTATTGCAACCACTGACAGTATGGCTGGAAACATGGGTGTTGGGTTGTGGGGGAGCAGGGCTGGGGAGCAGGTCGTGCAGGGCATAGGAGATCTGGGGTAATGAGGGATGAGAGGCATGATCTGTTTTATAATTTTCTAGAGGTCTCTCTGCTTTTGGACACCCGAGATATTAGATCACAAGTGGAAATGAGGCCAAGAGGGAGGCCAGAGGTGACAAATGCTGTTGGGGTCCAAAAGATGATTGGTGAAGGCAGAGCCCTGTGGCTGCAGACTCCCATCTGGGGACTGCTGCCTCCTTGTCTCTGCAGGCCCCTGTGCCAGGTCCCGAATGCGCAGACACAGCAGCAAGGACTACCAGCCACCTCTTGCCGCTGCTGTTGAGAGGATGAAAACCACTCGCCTCAAGGAACAGAAGGCCTATGCCCTCATCAGAGAAGTCGTGGGTAGGTGGCCTTCCCCTGGTTCTCAGCACAGACTCAGAAGATGCTGTGTGCAACCTCAGAAGTGCCTCGTGACCTGCAAGCCTCCATTTCCCACTCACTGTACTTCACGACATGTTTTGGTGGGACTCCATGGCCCTTAGGATCTTCTGAGCTCCCTCCTGTGGCTCCACCGCCACAAGTCCCCCCTCTTGATACCCCAAGCCCTGAGTTCTATCCACACTGGCCTTTGCAGCCCCCAGGATCCCCTGCACTCTTCTGAACCCAGGTTTTGACCAGACTGTTCTATCTGATCTGCCTGGTATGTGCCCGCTCTTCCTTGCACCTTTCCTTTGGTTGATTTCAGCCCAATCACCATGCCATCAGAGAGGCTCTTCCCAGGCCTCTGCGCTGGGAGAGGCCAGACTTCAGTGTCTTCACCCAGGTCTCTCCGAAGCAGACTGGGTACAGGCAGATCCAGAGGTGATCCCAGAAACATTGGTAGGAAGGAGGCCCACAGGGAGGGAACGAAGCCATGATGGGTTCAGCCCTGCAGAGGACCTCAGGAACAGCATGTAGTCCACTCCAAAATGATCCTACTCACGAGTGTCCATCTATATCTGCATGGGGGGAGATTCTCAGAATGCAGATGCCTGGGCCCTGGCCCAGACCCTCGCATTACACTCCCATCCCCAGAGTGTCAGGTGGCACACGGGGGCAGCCATATCCACTGTCAGTATTGTAGCCTCAGCAATGCAATGAGGCAGATACCCCATTTAAATTTTCTATTTAAGAAACATGTATGATCTTTTCGACCAAATTGTACAGCAGGCTACAGAGGGGCTGAATCCCTTGCCAAGGTCAAGGAGGGAGGAAGAGCTAGTATCTGAACCCAGAGAGAATACCTTCTAGTATCTGAACCCAGAGAGAATACCTTCTAGTATCTGAACCCAGAGAGAATACCTTCTAGTATCTGAACCCAGAGAGAATACCTTCTGGTCTGTGTGCTTCACTCCCCTCTGCTGTCTCCACAAGGATCAGTTCTGCTGGTCTTGGTGGGGAGGGGGGACCGCGGGGTGGGGGGGCACTGGTCTGGCCTCTAAGACCTCCACTGTTTGGAGCCTTGCACCACAGAATTTTCTGCCCAGACTACCTGACTGCAACTGTGCATCTTTTCAAGCATACCTGGGCTTCCTGTGGATGCTGCTGCTGGTGGCCTACGGGCAGAGGGATCCCAGTGCTTACCACTTCAACAGGCACCTTGAGCACAGCTTCACACAAGGCTTCTCCGCTGTCCTGGGCTTCCAGGGGTTCTTCGAATGGGCCAATACTACCCTCATGAACAACCTGTATGGTCATCACCCAGGTACAGTCCCCAGACACGTAGATTGAGCTACTGTCTGGAAGCAGGTGCAGGTCACTTAGGAGCCCTGTGAGGCCTGGGCCACCAACTCGCCTGTGATTCTGATCAGAGAATGTCTTTTTATTTGGAGACAGGGTCTCACTATGTAATATAGCCCAAGCTGGTCCTCAGCTGGCAATCCTCCTGCCTCAGCCTCCCAAGCGCTTGGATTACAGGTGTGAGAATATCTTTAGGTGAAATCAAGTGTACTAGGAAAAACATCATGAAAAAAGCCAAGCCTGGTACACCACAACATGTCCTTAGAACTACAAATCACTGAGAATGGCTACTTCAGGAGTGGAAGGGAGGCCTGTGTGAAGCAGAGTAGGAGCTACAGATAGGAATCTGCACATGAAGGAGCTCAGTGGTTCATGGTTTATCCTTAAGGACAAGAGGCATCCTGAGAGGGAGCCCCATGAATCTGTGTTCTGAGAAGGGTTCCAGTGGAAGCTGGCATAGAAGGGTTGGTGAATCAGGATGCTGGGGGGAACACAACTGTTATGGCAGGGGTTGATGCAGTGGTGATGGAGTCAGTGGTGATGGAGAAAAGGGACTGGTGCATACAACATGAAAGCAGCTGTGTTGCTGGCATGTAACCATTAAGATGTGTGTGGGTTGGGGAAAGGGTACAGGTGGATGACAGGGTGGTAGAGTACAATCTCTTTCCCTCGAAGAACTTATGCAGGGAGTGAGTAGGTGCCAGATGGAGGGGGAGGAGGTCATTTGGATGAATGGCTGGCCCTGAGCTTCTCTTGGCTGCCGCTCTATTAGGTACCCTTTAGTTCCTATCAGCATCTGCACCAGGAGAAGGGAATGTGTTTCGGTTGCTGGACTTTCCCACCTTGTGTTCATCTTTAGGCTTTGTCACTGATGGGAACTCCAAACTGGTTGGCAGTGCCCACGTTCGCCAAGTGAGGGTCCGGAAAAGCTCCTGTCCGCTTGCCCAGCAGCTGCAGGCTTCCTTTGATGGATGCCACGCCCCCTATTCCTTGGATGTTGAAGACCTGGCAGACTACGGGGAAGGCTGGACGGCCTCTGCCCCTAATACCAGCAGTGACTTCCGCCAGGCTTGGGAGTACCAGAGCCAGCGTCAGCGTCGGGGCTATCCCATGTGGGGCAAACTCACAGTGTACGGGGGAGGAGGCTATGTGGTCCCCCTGGGGACCGATCGCAAAAACGCGTCAAGGTAAAGCTGACTCGATTCTCTTGCCACTGAGTGGAGCCAGTTGTTAAGAGTTCATGTTGGATTGGAAAAGGCAGCTTCTGTGTAGGCCTGGGCCAGGTTAATTCACATCACTGTGGGAGAGGCTGAGAGGAGACAATCATTCAAGTCATATTTTGGGGTCCCAGAAATATGCAATGAAATATGTAATGAAAGAAATATTCCCCTCCAGCAATTGTTACTATGCACGCGCGTGCACACACATGCATACTCGTTCATTCGTTCTCCTGCAACATTTGGAGGCACTGTTGTTAACACCCATTTTAGTGTTAACAAGGTATGGAGAAGTCAGTAGCTGACCCAAGAGGCAGCCAGGCTTTGAAGCCAGGGCCCTCTGCCACCACCAGGGCTCCTGCTCTTTCTACCCTACCCAGAAGCCAGTTCTCAAAGCTGATCCAGGAGAGCTGCCAGCCTAGAGTTACCTTGGGAGCTGCAGCTGTGGCTCACCTCAACCCCCCCCCACCCGTTTAGAAACTTCCTCTAATACAATGACTCTCAGACTTGTCCAAGTACACATCCCCAGGCTCCCTGGGCCCCGTGTTTCTGATGCAGCAGGTCTTGGATGGGGCCTGAGACTCTCAATTTCCAACAACTTCTCAGATGCTGGTCTGGGGATCTCCCACTTTGAAAAGTTCCACTATAATGGCCACAAGACCACATGTGCCAAAATTTAATGCCATGCACCAGCATACTGTGACCATCCCCTTGGAAGAGATAGCACCAGAGTCCCAGGAGCAGAGAGGACAGAGGGAGGGAGAGAGAAAGGAAAAGGTTTGGATAGGAAGCTGGTCTTGTCCAGGGGCTGAAAAGCAGGGATGAGGATGTATGATGGAGACACTCTAAAGAACCTTCTTTCCCACAGACTACTCCAGTATCTCTTTGACCACACCTGGCTGGACACCCTGACCAGGGCTGTGTTTGTGGAGTTCACTGTCTACAATGCCAATGTTAACCTGTTCTGCATTGTCACACTCATGCTGGAGACCAGTGCTCTGGGTGAGCTGCCTTGCCTAGAAACCCTGCCACCCCCACCCCCCACCCTCCACGCCCCACTCCCATCCCCGGCCAAGTCTCCTGAGTCTCCTGACCAGCTAGGCCCCACCTCTAAGAGGCTAGGATTCCAGAGCAAATGAAATGCCCTGGAATGCCCTGTGGGGGGTTGGGTCTTGATTTTTCCCTGATGCTGTGCATCCCTAGCTCCCAAAAGTCCAGGCACTGGAGTGGTCTTGTCTCCCTCATTATCCCAAAAGGACCTGGGTGGAGTCTGATGGCAGTTGGTGCGTCTCACCGTATTGGAGGTGGGGTGGGGAGTCTCAGTGAGGGTCTGCCAAGGACTTCATAGAAGGTTACCTGAAAGAATATTTTCGACATAGTGCCTAAATCCACATTGGAAGTACATTTTGTCCCCTAATCCAGCACACACACACACACACACACACACACACACACACGATACTGATACCAAGGCCTCACAAACAATATTTACTTTAACTCTCTGTGGGATGCTGTCATAATTCATGTTCATTCTATTTCTTTCTCCTTACCATTCATCATTAAAATGCTAATCACAACTACTAAAAACAAAAAACAAACTTCAATTAAAAGCATTTTGCTTCCCAGGGACTTTCTTCACACATGCAACCCTGCAGAGCCTGCGTCTGTACCCCTTCACCGATGGCTGGCACCCCTTCGTGGTGGCAGCAGAGCTGCTTTACTTCATCTTCCTCTTCTACTACATGGTGGTGCAGGTGAGGGAGATGTGGGACACCCAGGGCAGAGATGGAGTTGGGGGGAACCTGATCCTTGACCCTCCCCTCTCCCACTCCTTGAAATGGGGCCTGAAGGGGGAGGAAGGAACATCTTTGCTTTAGGTATCTGCCTGGAAACCTCAGGTCCCGACAGCTGAACTCAGCTTCTGTCTACAGCCTAGCCTGGGAAGGAGGTCCTGTGGCTACTGAACCTTCTAAGAGCGGGCGAGAGGGGGAGGGGAGTCTCTGAGTTCAGGCTGGGGAGCTCTGTGCACCTTTTACTGTCATCTGTGGTCCCTGGTAATCGGGAAAAATCCCTCACCACCTTCACTGATGTGCTGTACCAGGAAGGCACAGCTGGTGATGATGAGAATTTGAAGATGTTGCCAGAAACAGGTCATATGCCCCCCCCACCTCCCACTAAAAGTGTACATGGGATGGATGCCTAAAGGCATACAGTATCTTGTCCTATCTTGTCCTCTGCTCCAGTAATTCTTTTAAGTCAAGGTGTGTTTGGGGCTTACGGTATGAGAAGTACTGTCCTAAGAACACAAAAGCCCAGAGTTGTTATTTATCCCAAGTTATATGTTTTTATTTTCTATTTTGCTGTGCTGTGTATAGAACCCAGGGCATCATGCATGCTAGGCAAGCTCTGTCACTGAGCTATATCGCCAGCCCCCATCATCAACATTTGAATCCAGAGTATAATGCCTGACCTTCATATTCGCCACCTATGCCAGAAAATGAGCCTCATAAAGCAGGATGCCAGCCCAGTGTCACAGCTCACACTTGTCATTAGCCCTCTGGAGGCTGAGGTAGGAAGATTGTGAGTTTGAGGCCAGCCTGGGCTATCTAACAAACTCTGTCTCAAAAAATAACCAACCAAGGGCTGGGAAGGTAGCTTCATGGTAGAGTGCTTGCCTTATATGCATGAGGCCCTGGGTTCGATTCCTCAGCACTACATAAGCAGAAAAAGCCAGAAGTGGTGCTATGGTTCAGGTAATAGAGTGCTATCCTTGAGCTGAAGAGCTGAGGGACAGCACCCAGGCCCAGAGTTCAGGCCCCACGACCAACCAAACAACAGCAACAACAACACAAACAATAATTTAAAAAAAACAAAAACAAAAATGAAACTACATCTGTACATTCCTTCCTCTCTACAGAAAGCAGCATTAGTACTGAATAAGCATTAGACCAGCATATGAGGTGCATCATGGGTAATGCACTCAGAGATCACTGACAGAAAGAAAACTCATGTGCTTATACAGACAGGCAGATGCCACCCACCACACTTGTCCTTAGGTGAGAGGGCCTGGACTGGACACACCATCTGTCACCTCCTCCATCCTAAAGTCACCTGGTCCTCAGGTCACCAGTATTTACTAACTGCCTTAAAAGGAAAGACAGACTTGACCTTTGTGACTGCGAGTTTGGTAACTTGAGTCAGGTGTCTGTGGAGTTGGCTTCTGCCCACTTAGGGACCCTAGAAATAACTGGGGTACTACCTCCCTCTATAACCACACATCGAAGAGATGGTTTCCAGGTCCTTGAGAAAGACTTTTCCTAGGCAGAAAGCTATCAAGAGGCTTGTTTAGGTTTCAAAAAGATATATCTTCAAGAAGCAGGGAGAGATTTTACAATGACAGGTTTTCTAAAGACTCTGAAAAGCAAGGGACTGAAGGAGAATCTTTCTTTGCATGGGGAAAAAGGGTTTTTTTCCCCTTATTAGATATTGTATTTACTCTCATAAGTCCTGCAGCTGGAGCTAGGGGTGGGAGCAAGTGAGGCTGTGTACAAGGCTGGGAGAGGCCTCAAGGCATTTGCCAACAGGGCCAGGACCTCTGAGCCTCCCCAGGCCTTGTTTCCCAGTCCCTGCTTTCCTGACTGGGAGTGGCAGTCAGGACCACTGCTTCTGACAGAACCTTGGCTCCTTTCCTAGGGCAAGCTCATGAAGAGGCTGAAGTGGGGCTATTTCAGCAGCAAGTGGAACCTTCTAGAACTGGCCATCATCCTGGCCAGCTGGAGTGCTCTGGCGGTGTTTGTAAAGAGGGCTGTGCTGGCAGAGCGTGACCTGCAGTACTACCGGGAGCACAGGGCAGGGTAAGTGGTCGCCTCTCAGCTCCCCTGCTTATTTCCCCCCTTCCCTCCAGCTGTAGGAAGGATACCTCGGGGACCTTGCCAACCCTCGGCTCACCGCAGGGCCCTCAGCAGAAGTAACTGCAGGTGCCCCTTAGATCAGGTGTGGGGTCTGGAGCACATACGACTGGAAAGGATTCTTTACGACAAAGTATAATATCACTTTACATGTGCACACAGCATTGGTTTGGGTTCCACCCAGCTTTGGAGAAGACATGTTGGAAGAGACAGTGCCCCAGTGAGCAGTCTCTGCTGGCACACATCAGGTGTTCACTCTGTCCCAGGCAGGATGGATTAACTCATGTCTAATACTCATAGGATAAACAGGAATGGATGAAGGTGGATGGTATCATCACTCCACTTCGCAAAGAAACAGAAACTCAGAAACCCAGGTGATTTTCACCAGGGCCACACAGCAGAAAGGCAGAAAAGATGTAATTAAATCTACCTTTTAGCTAGGTACCAGTGGTCATGCCTATAATCCTAGCTACTCAGGAGGCAGAGATCTAAAGTCTGTGGTTCAAAATGAGGCAGGACAGGAAAGTCCATGATATTCTTATCTCAAAAACAACAAAAAGCCAAAAAGGTGGAATTGTGGCTCAAGTGTTAGACACTAGCCTTGAGTGAAAAAACTAAAGGATAGTGCCAAGACCATGAGTTCAAGCCCCAGTAACAGCATGCACATGTGCATGGACACCCTCACCCTCACCCCCCTAGATTATGTGGCTCCAGGATCAAATGGCTTGCTTTGGGTAATTGCATTTTTTCCATCGCCCTTTTACAGATATATCTAACATTAGACTTATTGTTGAAAGTCACCCATTGTGATAAAAGCATTGATAAAAGCACAGCCTCACCTATTTTAATATTTCTGAGACCTCTAAGAATATTATCATCCCCCACTTTTTATTTTTTTGAGGTGCTGAGGAATTGAGCTCAGGGCCTCATGCACGCTAGGCAAGTGCTGTACCACTAAGCCACTTCCCCAGCCCCCTTATCTCACTCTTTAAAAAAAAAAACAAATGACAAAATCATTTGTAATGAGTTTCAGAGAGGTCAAGTTGCTGATATAAGATCACACAGAAAGTAAATAGAGGTCTCAGAATTTGAACTCCAGTCTAATGCTATATCATTCATTCAACAAACCAGCCTTGTGTCCTATGCTGGTTTGCCATGTGTCAAAACTACCAGACACATGACAAACCAGTCATGTGACAAAACTACCTTCTTTGAAGGCTCCCTCAACAGAAATGTCTCCTATCAACAGCGTTCTTACAGGTCAGAAGTTGTCAGCAGACATCTTTTCAGTAAAGCTGATGGTGAGCTTATATGAAATAGTCATTCACAAAACTTAGAGATGCTTTAGCTCTCCAAAGGGTCAGCAAGGAACAATGGGCATGAGGGAGCAAATCCAGCCCCTGCTGTTTTTGTAAATAAGGTTTGGTTTGGTTTGGGTTTGGATTTTGGGGACAGATCCTTCCCCTGATTCTCCTGCCTTGGACTGCTCAGCGTTGATATCACAGGCATGTGCCCCCATGCCTGGTTTTAGTGCGATGCCAGCCCAGCCTTTTCCTCACACATGATCCATAGCCACCTTCTCACGACTACCATGGCTACATTGAGTCTCTGGACCTGGTACCATCTGGCTCACACAGCCCTGAATGTGGACTCCCTGGATCTTCCCAGAAAGCCTATCAGCTACGGCTAGAAAACAAAGGCTTCGTTCTAGGAAGGAATGATGCCCTTGTTTGTGGTAGGTCCCCCAGGACCGCTGATGACACTGGATTGTCACTGTGCCCTCACTGGCCACGCTCTTTCCTCACCAGGATCCAAGCATGTTTCATCTTTGTGTTGTTGTTGATAGCAGGGCTTGAACTCTGGGCCTGGGCACTGTCCCTGAGTTCTTCAGCTCAAGGCTAGTGCTCTACTACTCGAGCCACAGCACCACTTCTGCCTTCTGGTGGTTTATTGGAGATAAGAGTCTCATGGAGTTTCTTGCCCAGGCTGGCTTTGAAGTGTGATCCTCAGATCTCAGCTAGGATTACAGGCATGAGCCACTGGCGCCCAGCAGCATGTTTCATTCTTGACATCCACCCAGATGGATTTCATATTTGCATGGCTCAAAAACAATTCTACAGCAGAGTGACTGTGACAGTGTCAGTAACTTTCTGACACTGAATGTTAGAAAGCATAAGTGAAATCTGCTAGTTTAACAGAAACCTGACCATAATTTGAATTAGGTTTCTTTTTTTTTTTTTTTGGTGGTGGTGGTAGATATTGAATCCTTCAACCCAACACCTCACCCATGCTAAGCAAGGGCTCCAGCATTGAGCATGCCCAGTTAAGGCTGAAATTAATATTGAAAACCTCAATTAACTTTGATTGATCAATTAACTTGGATCAATCAAGCAAAGTTTTGTGTTTATTTCAGAAATATAACAAATTTCAGGAGTTTTGCTGTTTTTATAGTCAGTCCTTCAAATTTTTCCTTTCCTTTCTTTTCTTTTTCTGGGACTCAAACCCAGAGCCTTGATATATACTAAGCACCTACTCTACTACTGAGCTATACTATGACTCAAATCCTGAATTTTAATAAGTTATTAATTTTAAATTATTTGCTTCCTTGTTTACATAGTCTCAGCTCTGACCCCTTAGTAGGGTACAGGGAGAAGACCCCAACCCTGCAGCCCGGCCACTGATCAGAGCTATTCTGACTGTCCAAATGTGTTTCCCCTCCCCTGCTCTTCCGTCCCCTCCTTCTCCTCTCCTTCCCTTCCCTTCCTGTTGGTCCTGGAGATTGATCTCAGGGCCTTGTACATGTGAGTGACCACTGAGCTGCAGCCCAGCCCCATAATCACATTTATAAATTATGTGATACTAATGGTATTGTTAAATATAAGGACAAACATTTAATATTGGTTATATTATGTAAAAATTATATATCCGTACTAAATCCTTATACTAGCTTGGGATTCCATATTTTTCTGTAACTTGTTTTTGTCCTTCATGTCAATAGGAAATATCCATGTCATTTTAATGATATACTACAATTAAAACTGATTTAAAATGGAAGGGCAGGAGAAGGATGAAGGACAAGCTGTGATATGGAAAGAATCTGGGCTTTAATGTCAGACACACCTGGACTATTCATTCTTGCACTCACAAGTGTGTCACCATTTAGTCACTAGCTGTGTGACTTGGTGCTAACTCCCAATCCTTACCTGTAAAATGGTGATAGGAAGATATGGTCTTGATGTTCAGATGAGACAGAGCAACTGAGATTCTTACTTAGCACAATGAATAGATAGGACTCCCCTCTTTCCTTCAAATATAAGGCCAGCTGTGGATACATGTGCAGGATGCAGAACATCTGGTGACCCTAATGCAGAAAGTCCCTTCCCTTCATCCTCCTCACCCTGAGATGATTCCTCCAGATTCCTCCAGAGTTCTCCATTAAACAAAACTGCTAGTTAAGAGAATCCATCAACAAGGAGTTGTCAAGGAGCCATCATGATATCATCACCATCATCACTAACACCATCACTCTCTTCATCATTGCTGTCATCACCATCACCATCAGCAGCTGTCATCCCTACCATCCTCCTCCTCACTGCCAGTGTCGTCACCATCGCTGTCATCACCATCACCACCCATCAGCAGCTGCATCACTGCTGTCATCCCCACCATCCTCCTCATCACAGTTATCAACACCATCATGGCTCTGACATCATGATACGTCTAATCCTGCATCCCGAGATGGCAGTACATCTAATGCCTCTGGCTGCCCTGCTCATGGCCTCCTATTTTGGTCCCACAGAGGGATCAGCTTCAGTGAGACAGCATCAGCCGATGCTGCCCTCGGATACATCATTGCCTTCCTGGTACTCCTGTCCACGGTGAAGCTTTGGCACCTGCTCAGGTTGAATCCCAAAATGAGCATGATCACGTCGGCTCTTTGCCGGGCCTGGGGTGACATTTCAGGCTTTACCACCGTCATCGTTATCATGTTCCTGGCCTATTCCATTGCGGTGAGTGACTCTTTTGGGAAAACCTCAGAACTGGTCTCTACGAAGCTGAGCTACTTGGTAGCATGGAGAGGACAATTAGGGAGACCCTGGGACCCTGAGGGAGATGGTAGATCTTCTGAGTTTAGATCTTTTAACTGGGATCTGTGGTGTGGTCACCTCAATGGCAAAGACTGAGAGCTTCAGTAGAATAGGTTTTTGCTCTCTAGACTCTAAGTCATGAACTTGGTAGGACCAATACCCTAACCAACCCCTTAGCACCTGAGAGCATTTTGATGATCATATCTATTTGCGACAAATCCAAAAAAAAAAAGCATTGAATGTTCAACTCTTTTTTTTTTCACCATGAAATAATATGAGAAGCAAAGACCCTTTTCTGAGCCTTTGCATCCAAATACACACCCCTGACTCTCACACTCACCCAAGTCTATGATTTCTGCAATACTCAGTATTGTCTGAGACCAGAAATGACAACTCGGGATGGGGGTGAGGGGAACTAGGCCTTCCTCTGATACCACAGTCCTAGGAAATTCTTGAGGATGTGTTGTGGTGGGGGAAAGGCAGTGTCCAAGATGGAAGCAGCCCACTGTCCGCCCAGTGCAACTCCCTGGGGCAGAGCTGGGGTCTCAGAGCATCCAGTTTCCTCACTGAGTCTTAGAGCAGCCATATGGAAAAAGGCCATAGTGGCTGAGATAGTGGGTGCCTGAACCCTAGGAGGCTCAGAGAGCTCCCGGTGCTGGGTGATGTGGAGCTGGGATCACCCACAGACTATGAGCACAGCCAAGGTCCTGGAGGAGGTTACTGGTGAACACACCTGCAGAATATGCAACACACAAATGCACACACAGAGGCATGAGTGCAGGTACCAGTGATTACACAACTACACATGCAGACTCTCACATATACGCACGTGCATGGTCTTGCATGCATGGACCTATAGAGAGGGACACACACATCCCATCTCAAGCATTAGTGCATTTATACACCCACCTCTCATAGGGACAGCTGAGCTAGGCCAGGCAGAGAAGGTAGTGGTGTGGGCCATGGCTGACAGCAGGATTGGTGTAGGAGAAGGAGGGAGTCCCACATCTTCTCTTTCATCCATGAGCACTCTCTCTAACAGTCAAACTTAATATTTGGATGGCAACTCCATTCCTACAAAAGCCTCTTTGATGCAGCAGAGACACTGATCAGCCTTCAGCTAGGGATCTTCAACTATGAAGAGGTAAGGGGATGTGGACGCTAAGTAAAGTCTGCACCAAACCTTCCTGAAAATGAGAAAAAGCACTCCCACCCTCCCCTCCTTGTGTCCCCTTTCCCAGGCTATCACATAGTCACATGATCCAGGACCCTTCCCTAGAGATCCTGCTCCTGAAACTCCAGGCATTCATTGACTACTGGGGATGGGGTGGGGACTGTGCTGGAAGGTCTCCAGCAGGGTCAGCCTTGGTTGAATATGTGTGTGAGGATGCAGCAGGGGGCAGGGGTGCTGCCTGCTCCTCCTCTGGTCCTTCCCATCCTCAGCCCCAAGCGGAGGGACCTTCCTGGCTCTAAGCTCTACCCAGCTCTAAGGACTAAATTTCCTTCTGAGAGTTACAGCCAGGAGGGAGACACCAGGACACAGAATGCCAGGAATGACTGGCTTTGTTCCTGGCAGGTGCTGGACTATAGCCCTGTGCTTGGTTCCCTCCTCATTGGGTCCTGCATTGTGTTTTTGACGTTTGTGGTGCTGAATCTGTTTATCTCTGTCATTCTGGTGGCCTTCAGTGAAGAACAAAAACAAGATCAGGTGAGCTCTTGATCTTAAACTATCATGACATTGAACTATGAGGAGACCAGCTGAGCTGTGGTGTTAACCATTGCAACTCAAAGTCCTAATAATTTTGCAGAAGGAGAAACTGAGGCCCAGTAGCAAATTACTTCCTGTAGCCACAAGCAAGGGAAGGCAGAACTGAGGTCAGAACTGGGCATCCTAATTCCCAATTTGGAACTATTTACTACCCTAGTGACTGAACCACCAGTTACAGGCAGATTTCAGAGCAAGCAGAAGTAACAGCAATAATTAATAATAGTAATAATAACAATAAATGGAAGAAAACATTCTGGGTAGCAATGATCTCAGAAAAAGGTCTAGTGCTGCTTAAATTTAGGTTCTATAATCCAGCTTTTCCTGTCTGGTTTGGGATTTTAAAATGATACTAGGAAAACTCCAGAATGCTCAGCAGAGAGGAAGGAGCCCCAGACATAAGGGAGGAAACACATACTCATCCCTTAGGAGTATAGAAAATCATAGCTTCTCCTTAGAAAGAAACCTCTGAAAAGGATGGCTTCAGATATGTTCCCTGGTTCTGTCTCCTTTGCAGCTGTCAGAGGAAGGAGAGATTGTGGATCTGCTCCTGGAAAAGATGCTCAGCTTCCTGGGTGTTGGATGTAAAAGAGAGATGCCTTAGAGCAGTGGCTAGCAGACCAAGTCACCCTGTGAGGCTCAGTTGACTCAGCCAGAACAAGCTTTGCCTGGGGTGTAAGCTGTATATATGTATGTATAAATAGATAGATATAAAGTTGGTATTATTGTAGAGACTATTTGTTCCAATGACTTTCCTCCTCAAAATAAAAATTATATGGCATGGTAAAAAAATCTCTACGGAGTAATAGTTTATTGTTTTTGTTGGTCAGCAGCTCCCTTTGAATGACGCCAGTTAAAACTCTTCCTAGAGATAGTTCTAAACTAGAATCATTCAAGTAATCCTCTTAACTATCCTAGGACTGCTGGTACGAAGTTACAAAGTACGACTTGTTTGGTGGCTTAAAACAATAGAAATTCTTTGTCTCACTGAAACCAAGGTGTTGGCCGGGCCACATTCTGCCTGAAACATGAGTGATGAAGCTATGTCTCTCCAGCTCCTGGTGTTCCTGGTGAAGCTCCGTGTTCCTCTGCTCTTGGAGACATTCCTCCTATCTTGCCACATGTCCTTCTGATTCTCTTTTCATCAGGGTACCAATAATATTGGATTAGGGCTTCACCTTAAGAGGAAAATGTCTATCAGCTCCAAGACATAAGTGGGCCCCTCCTGAGATACCTAGAAGAAATTACCACCTGCAATTGCCCAATCAGATAATCTTTCAGATCTCAAGCCAAGGAAGTTACAAAGAGTACAGAATTGAAAACAAAAGTATTTTTGACTATAGTCAATGACTGCTAGTAATACTAATGAGCAATATGATGTACTCATTAATTTTTGGTGGAAGAGCTATGATATCCCATGTCAAGTTTCAATCTTTACTCTAAAAAGCTAAGAATAAGTACTTGAGGAAATGAATTGCATTATATTGCCCTGGCTAGGGGCAAAACAATGCAAACAGAAATCTGACTCTATAAAAAGGTAGCCAAGATCTGGAGTGGATAGTGAGCCAGTGTGATCCTGTTAAGCATTCCAAATTGAGGCAAGTAGAGCAACCTCTGTGAAGTCCTACTACTGCCACCTAGCCGTTCCTTCCTTGAGCTATAAAATGCTTGGTCACATTACTTAACCTGTGGAGCCTCTAGGCTTTTTTTTCTTCTTCTATGAATTGAGAGTAATACCTGACAGAAAGCAGTTGGGACAGGAGTAAAAATACAATGTTCATGCTTGTGGCTCATGCCTATAATTCTAGCTACTCAGGAGGCTGAGATTTGAGGACCAACCACAGTTCCAAGCCAGCCCAGGCAGGAAAGTCTGTGAGATGCTTATCTCCCATTAACCACCAAAAAGCCAGAAGTGGAGCTGTGGTGCGAGTAGTAGAGGTCTAGCCTTGAGTAAAGAAAGTTCAGGGACAGCACCCAGGCTCTGAGTTCAAGTCTTAAGATCAACACACACACACACACACACAAGGCAATGTTCATACAGTGCCAGGCACATGACACTCAATAGATGGTGATTTTTTTTTTACTCAGAGGACAATGGAGCACATCCATATAACCACCGAGTGGCTTAGACGGAAGCTAAATGCAACACTATATGAGGCTTACATACACACTCACTTCAAGGAAATCCACCCTCTGATATTGAGCTTGCAGCTTTTTCCATTCCACTGTTTCTTGGCTGGCTGAGCCCCACTGCATCATATCTGTGCTGAAGGTGAGGTCTTTCCCAGAACTTATTTTCTGTATACATGGATCTGAACAATGACTTCAGCTTTTCTCAGGTCTTGGTCACAGGCTTGGTTGATTAAGCAAGAAGCTGTCTACACTGGGTCTTACTTAACTCTGGTCCAGTCCTAAGACTTGGGCCAGTTCTTTCCCCTCCATAAGCTTCTTGATTTTTGTCTGTCCTATTTGAAGTCACTGGGCCTCTTGGGATCTGTAACAAAGTGGTTTTTTTTTTGTTTGTTTGTTTGCTTTTTGGGATTTTTTTTTTTTTTTTGCCAGTACTGGGGCTTGAACTCAGGGCCTGGGCGCTGACCCTGAGCTTCTTTTGCTCGAGGCTAGCACTCTACCATTTGAGCCACAGAGCTACTTCCGGCTTCTTCTGCGTATATGGTACTGAGAAACCCAACCCGGGGCTTCATGCATTCGAGGCAAGCACTCTACCACTAAGTCACATTTCCAGCCCAACAAACTAGTTTTTCATGGCTTTTTTTCAGTATCTCAGAAAGTCAGAGTTATGTCGGTGCAATCGTGGCCAGAGGCAGGAAACAGGAACACATGGCCCTCGGGCCGTAAGAGACCCTCAAAATCGCTTTGCTACGTGAGCGTGACCCGCCACTTGCACTCCCTTTGCGTCCCATTGGCTGCCCGGTGCCACCTACTTTGACAATTCTGTGAGATCCATAAAGGAAGTTACAAATATCCAAATGACTCTGAGAGAAAAAGGACTGCGGCCCCGCGAGTCCAGCAGGATTAACAGTGCCCACCTACCCGCAGCTGCTCGGGGCTCCAGGACACAGAGGAGCGCGGGCGCAGCCCCGTCACTATCTCAGTTACTTAGGAGAAGCCGCGCGAGCGCGTTCCCCGGGGCCATGCAAAGCCCCAGGCGGCTGACCCGGCAATTTACGGGAAGAACAGACGCCCGGGGCTAGGCCCTGTCCCTCCGGGAGGCCCCGCCTCTCGCAGCCGTCGGTTTGGCCCCCGCCCACCACACGGCCTCCGCCCCTCGTTCAATGCCCCATCCGGGCCTCGGCGCTTCGGAAAATCACGCCCCTCGAGCGCATCACCCTATCCGAGCTCGCGCCCAGCCCAGGAGTCCCCGCCCCCCGAGCGCTGCCCAATCAGGTCCCGTCCCACCTAGGGCCGGTCCCCGGGCTTTGGTCCGGCCGGCACCCCGCCCCGCTCCGCCCCCCTGCCCGGCTCCGCCCCCCCGCCAGGCTCCGCCCCCCGCCGGCCCGGTGGTGGAGGCGCCGCGCGGCGACCCTCGGAACCCTTGTGGTCTATCATGGCGCTCCGAGTGGCTAGGAGCTTGGGGTCCGCGGCCTGCAGCCTGCGCACGGCCCTGGCGCCCGCTGCGCCCTGCCCGCTGCGGGCCTGGCGGCTGAGAGCGGACGCCGTCCGCACGCTGCGCACGGGACCCGCGCTGCTCTCGGGTAAGCGCGGGGCACGTGGGCGACCCGTCACCTCCCTCCCCTCGGCCGGGCGAAGGTTGCGTCTCCCTCCCGGGCCGGCCGGCCGGAGCAGCCCGCGGTCCTGCCCGGTCCCGGTTCTGTGGCCCCTCTGCCTTCGGAGCGGGGCCAGGAGACACAAGCAGGCTGTGTCCTGGGTAGAAAGGGGGCCGGGGGAGGAGGCGCGCTGGACCCAGGGCAGGGGCGTCCCGGCTCGGCCTGGGGAGGCTCTTTGTGAGCCCCGTGTGCACAGAGCCCCTGCCTGGGGTGGTCTGTAGCCTACTAAATGCACCGAGTACTCGAGGGTTTGGCAGAAGCACTCGTTAATATTAAAGCAATTTACTTGTTAATATTAAAGCAACGGGGCCAGAGTTTCATTCGCTCTCCTAAAAGCTCGCATTGCGGGCAGCACAGGCCTAACTTAAACGGAGTTGGAACAACTGGGACACCTGCCCGTAAATATCTTGGCCATTTGTGCTGCTTTAGCACAAAAAGCCCCAGTGGAGAGGAAGCATTTTCTTTATGTGCAAAGACTTGAGACACTGACTGCCCTTTGTAAGAACTTGGGCTTCTTGTTTAGGGTGTATGACACCCGGAGGAAATGTTTGGAACTGGAATTGTTGATCATTTTATTCCACAGTTTGAGGCCTGCTAATATTACCTCAGCTGTCTTTGATACACATCAGTGCATTACTGATTTGAACACGAGGGCAAAGCATTTTCAAACAAAAATTAATTTCAAGTCTGCTCCTTTTGCTTCTCTCTTTTGGCTAGTCAGCATTATCCTATCTTTAGATGTTTACATTCTCTAGTCATTTAGTTAAATATTGCTCAGAATATCAATGCCCATGATCTAGTTAAGCACCTAGGTTTTATTTGTAATTCACTTGTTCTTTAATTGACACATTATTATATTTATAGGGTATTGTGCACTTAGGCTTTTAAAAGCAGACAGTCCAGGGCTGGGAAGTGGCTCAGTGGTAGAGTGCTTGCCTCGAATGCATGAGGCCCTGGATTAGATTCCTCAGCATCACATAAGCAGAAAAAGCGGGAAGTGGTGCTGTGGCTCTAGTGGTAGAGTGCTAGCCTTGAGCTGAAGTGCTGAGGGAGCCCAGAGTTCAAGCCCCATGACCAAAAAAAAAAAAAGAGAGAGAGAGAGAGAAAGATAAAAGCAGACAGTCCACTACCAACTCTGGTTCTACTTTTTCTGAGCTGTGAGATCTTTGGTATGGTTACTTTTCTGTTTGCTCATTAGAAATGGAGGTAGCTGAGAATTTAGCTTAGTGGTAGAGTGCTTGACAAGCATGCATGAAGCCCAAGGGTTTGGTTCCTCAGCACCACATAAACAGAAAAGGCAAGAAGTGGCACTGTGGCTCAAGTGATAGAGAGCTAGCCTTGAGAACAGAGGCTCAAGGACAGTTCCCAGGCCATGAGTTCAAGCCCCAGAACTGGCCAAAAAAAAAAAAGTGGAGTTAAAATCTATCTTAGAGCTGTTGGGAGGATGAAATGAATTTATGTAATTTCTGGACTTACAACTTGATACCTAACAGGCACTGAATACACTTTGTTAAACATCAGTGTATAGTACCAAATAAATACAAAGGGAAAACAGACTCACAAAATATATTTTACCTGATCATTGAACAGCCTTTTAATGAATGACTTATCGTGATTCTCTGAGGCCAAAGCCTATGTTTATCAAGATCCAATTAAATGGAGTTACTTGCCTAATCTGTCCGCTTTTTCCTGTTAGTTCAAGAGAATCATAATAATACAATTTTAGGGCCAAGTAGTACACATAGTAAAAGAAGTCAGCACTTTGAAGCCAGTAGACGTTGGTGCACAGTCTCTAAGCTGTGGTTACGCACTTGCTAAC